CCTGCACCCTGACCTCTATGGTTTCCGCCCCGGAAAGAGCACTGCTCACTGCATCGCTCACTACATGGCAAACACCTCCGCCAAAACCTCCCTCTTCGTCGACTTCAAGGGTGCTTTGATAAAGCCAACAGTGAAGTGATCCTTGAAGGCCTCACTCACATGGATGTGAAGGGCAAACTCCTCACGTGGATTGCTGACTACCTCTCCCATCGACAGGCCCGTGTCCGTTTTCAGGGCCACTACTCTAAGATCAGGGACCTTGATCTTGGCACGCCTCAGGGAGGTGTACTCAGCCCTACACTCTTTAATGTTCTCATGAACTCCATCTGCCGCCTCAACGTCATCTTTGCTGAGCGCGCCCTAGACGGTCACATCATAAGCTACGCTGATGATATTCTCCTCCAAATTACTACAGTGCAACATGAACAACCTATACTCTCCACGTTCGCCCGGACCTGTCAAACACTCGGGCTAGTCATCTCACACACTAAAACCAAGTTCATCTCACGCTTCCGGCGTCAGACACCACTGACTCTGCAAGGACAAGACATCGATCAAGTACGCACCTACAGGTACCTTGGTCTACCTGTGCGAGCCACTACCAGAGCCACCACCTCCGCTGTCGCCGCCCACGTCATCTCCCAGTGCCGCCAACGAACGAGGCCCCTCCAGTCCCTCACTCACGGCCTCAAAGGAGCCTCTGTCAGGGTCCTACGTCTCATGTACATTGCCATCGTCAGAGCTGTCATAGATTATGCCTCTCCTGTCCTTGTAGTTGCCTCCCAGCGCGAGAAACAAAGCATAGAGAAAATCCAAAACAGAGCGATGAGACTCATCCTCTATGCCCTATGAAGTCATGCCGCCTAATCCTGCTTCCCGTCTGCGATCGAATTACTGCTCTCAATGCCATCCTTGGTGTTAAACTTCTTCGCAGTGAGCAACCGACTCCCCTGTCGCGCTCACTGAACTCACATCTTAACACCCTCCTGCGCCGGCCTGTCCCCATTACTTTCCCCTCTCCCTCTCAACTCTGGCCCGTCCACACTGCTGCTGACATCCTGCGTTATCACCTCTACACCCCCTCGACCTCTCTCCCTCCCGAGTACACTCATCCGCCTCTACCGCCGTGGACCTCCCCGTGTGTTGATGTTGTCGTCCACACCTTCCCTGGTCGTAAATCCACCCAACTGAGGTATATGCTCAAACTTAACTGCCTTGAGCAGATTAATGATGTCGCCTCCTCTCTAAAGACCTCCCACCCTCCTATCCTCGTCTACTGTGATGGGTCTGTTACCACGCTGGGCAGCGCTGGGGCAGCTGTGTGGATTCCTGAGCGCCAGGCCTGCAGGAAAATCAGGGTTCACGACTGGGCCTCCTCCACTGATGCTGAAAGCATAGCCATCCTCGCGGGCATTCATGAGGGGGCGACCTATGCTCGCACTGAACGCCGGAACCTCCTTATAATCAGTAACAGCACTTCTGCGCTAGCGAAGCTCAAATTACCCTCCCCCTCCTCCCCTGCCGCCCAACACACCCTAGCCGCCGTTACCGGGCTAGAACAAACTGATGACATCCGTGTCAAGTTTATTTGGATCCCGTCACATATAGGAATAACTGCCTGTGACACTGTTGATCGGCTTGCCAAAGAAGCTACGCAAGAAGAAGATATTGAAGCCACTTTCGCCCTCTCCCTGAATCATCTCAAATCTCGCATACACGCCACACAACGAGAGGCATTCAACGAAAATTGGACACACCTGAAACAACGGGGTAGCATCACACTATGCCACTATGACGCTGTAACCGGTGACGACAGCCGCCACTACAAAGAGTATCAATCCCTGACTCGATCTCAACAGATTATATACCTGAGACTGCGCCTAGGGTACAGGTACCTATGGGAGTACATTGACAACCCTGAGCCTCACCGCACTGTTTGTAAACTTGTGGCCAACCCGACTCCCACACCCTCTCTCACTACATCCTCACTTGCCCTATGACCTCCTCCTACAGGTCCCCAGCCGTTACCAACACCTCTTCCCTCCCTGACCAGATATCCCTCCTCCTAGTCACAGGCCTGGCACTTGACATTATTAGGGACCTGCCACGCTTTACTTTGAACAGATGAAATGTACCGGGAACTTTACCCCCACACACTCATCATTCTCTCACTTTATGTAACTTGACAAAACCTATTACCCATCAGGCTTTTACGCCCTTAATGTACGAGTCATAAAGGCAAGTATGAACTTTGCATACTTCCCAGATGGGCGCTGTAAACGCTTCTGCGCTTCACCTTGCACAGGATGTAAGGGGGTGCCCAATAAACTAGCCCCCTCGGGGGCAAATCTGAAATCTGAATCTATTGCTGCACTGCCTGCTTCAGATGTATGAACTTGGGTCTGTTACTTAGAACCTTTAGATTCATTCGTATCGGTTTCACTTTCATGTTCTGATTGGTACCGAGACAGTTTCAAACGTCTGAAGCAGGCAGTGCAGCACTAGCTGGCTAGGAGAGTTAACGAACTTTTGGGTGAGACTGTACAAATTGAAGTATTCTTCTGGTCATTTGCATTCCCAGAAATGCCGAAGGATGTCCCCTTTCCTGCGGACTATCTAATCTTGATGGAAATGTTGAAATCTGGTCCAGTCACATAGGAGCATGTTAGTGTCGACAGAAATCTAGTGTTTTGGTGTGTACTTCATATGGTTCGGGAAGGTTGGTCACAGGATTTGTCTAGTTACCCTCTGGAGGTTAAAACTTAAAAAGACAAAATGAGCTCAGTATTTACAATGGGTGTTTAATATGTGGATGTAGAGTACAATAATTATGCTTCCTCAAGGACGTAAGGCAGTATTGGCAGAGCTCTATGAGGGACATTAGGGATTTCTAGGATGAAAAGTCGTAGCAGGTCTTACTTCTGGTGGCGCCTGATGGACCAGGATGTGGAAGCAGTGACTGAAATATCAAGCTTGCCAAGACCAGAAACCGCAGTAGCCTCCCGTTGAACTGCACTTGTGGCCATTTTGAGGGTCAGATGCGATTTCTCCTGAGCGACGCTCACAGTAAGTAGCTGGATTGATTGATTGATTGATACGTTTATTGAGATACAAAAAACATTAATACATCTCAAAGGGATGAAGTGACATAAGTCATCCCCACCCCAGTCCAGGAATGTCCCTCTCAGGACTCGCATAAATCCCTAATATTTCATATAATTAGTTATAGTACATAGTTATATTCTAGATGCAAAATTTCTGTATTTCTTTAATATTTCATCTATTTTCCTATTTTTAAACATCCACTCTATTTGCATGGGGACATTATTTATATGGGCATTTCTATATACATTATTTATATCGGCATTCCAGTATATAATGTGGCAGGGTATGGGATCTGGATGTTCTACAAACTCTACATTCTTTATCCTGTTCACTTCTCTCAGCTCCAAGTTCCCAATAATATTTATATCCTAATCTTAACCTCATATACACTGAATCTTTCCACCTACTCCTATCTTTCCCATATGTAAATTTTGTGTTCATGAGAACATGATGGTAATGTTTCATTGTTTCACTTTTCTCGTATATTTCATTCCTTTTGAAATTATCTTCTATTGATTGTATTTTCCGTAATTTGCTCCTTAATTGTTTCAAGGTTTTAGTACATATTATGTCGATCTCGGCCTTTTCCGTGGCTCTTTTTGCTATTATATCTACTGCTTCATTAAGACCAATGCCTACATGTGAAGGGACCCATACAAATTGAACATTATGGCCATTTTTCCTTATTGTATTTACTAATTTTCTACATGAACCAATAATGTGTTCAAAGACTGGACTCCCACTGTTCAAAGAATCCAAAGCTGCCCTACTATCAACAAAAAAATATGCATCTTTATACATATTTACAACATTTTCCAATCCTACTAACATTGCATATAACTCAGCTTGTGTTGATGATATAAAACTGCTCAACCGAAGTCCAATTTTGATGTCATCATTTCCTTGTTCTGTGTACTGTCTTATAAGGATCCCACACCCTGCCCTGCCACTTGACATAACTGAACCGTCACAATATACATGCAATGTGCTTATTTTAGGCAAATTACTAATCTTATTCCCATATAAAGCCCTTAACTGTCCTGGTTCATGTAATGATTTCTTCATTGTGAGAGGCACTACGTCTAACTCTACTTCTCGTTCTTCCCCGGGTGGATTCTTACAACTTTTCTGAACAGCTGTACACCAGTCTGCTAGATTACATTTTTTAATAATATTTACTAATCCATTCATGTATCCTCTCTTGCCTTTCCTGCAGAAGGTTCTTTTATCTTTTAAACCATCATTTATATCTTGTACAAATTTACCCCCACTGTTCCAAGTAGCTGGATATCTAGAGAACCTCTTCTGCCTCCCAACAGTCACGATCGATAAATGCAGACTATCATTTGCTACCTTCGGTGTTCCAGACACCAGTGTTAGTGTAAATATGCTGGCTTTACTTGTCAAGCTTTCCAATCCTGTACATTGAATGGAATGAACCATGTTACTTCTCCCAGGTCACCAAAGTACAATGGGTTGGTGGAATGAGCAGCACAGTCCTTTAAACAGGGTATTTGGAGGCAGAAGAATGGGAGACTGGGTACCAGGTTATGTAGGTTTTTAATTCCATTATAGATCTACACGGGAACTACACCCATAGTGCTACTTTTACGGGTCTTTGTTCATTAATACTTTTACTTTTCTATATTTGTCTATATCTGGGAAAGGCTATCTCTCTTCTCTGTAAATTTACTCTTAGTCATTCTAAAGTAACAGCAAGAGCATTCATTAGGTCGGGGGCTTAGAGGCTCGATTGACCCAGGAAAATCAGGAGAGAAGATCAATAACATGTTAGAGTCACGCTCCCTCAGCTTCCCCTCCATCAATAGTGAGGGTGAGAGACGCCCTCTGATTCGCTAGCAATTTCTCTACGCGAGCTGCAAGCCGTGCGTTCATTGGAGGAATCGATCGCCATAGCGTATCCGTCGAGGGAGTTGTGTTCCTTGGTCGAGGCTGTTGTGGCCTCTGCTGTGATACCTTGGAATTAGTATTTTCTCTGTCGTTTATCGTTTTAAAGAACGTTAATTAGTGGCAATGCGACGCCAAGCAAACGGGTATGTGGACAGGCGCGGCGGGGGTGGTCGAGGAAGAGGAAATATGTACCGAGGACGAGGTGGCCAACGAGGAGGAGGTCGTGGCGGCGGGATCCACAAGCCGCCGCCGCTCATGTCGCGTCCCCTGCCACCCCCACCTGGTATGCGACGCCCTCCCAACATGGGCCCCCCCAGAGGTCCCATGGGACCACCACCCATGCCCATGGGGATGGGACCGCCCCCAGGTCGTATGGGTCCCCCTGGACCCGGCCGGAGACCCAATCATATGGGTCTTCCTGGGCGAATGGTAGGGCGACCTATGGGGGGCCCTGGGCGACTTGGTCCTCCTGGTCCAGGAAGATTGGGCCCCCCTGGCCCTAGACCTCTAGGACTTGGTAGAGGAATGGGTCCCCCACCACCCAGGGGTGGCATGGGACCAAGAGGTAGAGGAGCGATGCAGGGCATGTTGCCTCCGCCACCAATGGGTCCACCTTTTAGACCCCCAGGGCCTGGCATGATGGGCCCCCCAAGACCACCTATGAGAGGCAGAGGGCGAGGTCGAGGTGCAACTCGGGGACGTGGAGCTACAAGAGGACGTGGTGGTGGGATATCCATGATAAAGAACAAGGACAAGCAGGTACATTATAACTTAATTAATTTAGGATGTTACTGTTCATAGTCTCAGGTACAGGTAACACTTAGGACTAGCTCTTGTGTTTGTGTGCGTACATTACAGAACCAAATTTAAGAGATGATATTTACAAAGAACATTCATTCAGTATTTTGATGCTAATTTGCTGTACTGACTAGATGCCATTTTTATTTGATGAGAAGCAGATACTGTATACAGACTGTCCTGATATGTCATGACATATTAGGACATGACATGGCGTGACATCAGGACAGTCCTGTATATAGCCACTTCTTTGATGAGGTGGTCTGACTTTATGAGAAACCTTAAAAATATTCAGATTAGTAATGTGAAAGAAACACTCAATTGTTTTCACTGATTCAAAACCTGGCAAAGATGAAGAGAGTTGTCACTTTACTTTTCTCATTGTTTTGACAGGAGCTTCAGTGTTATGACTTTCAAGGTATAGAATACAAATTTCATGGGAGAGGAAGGTGAAAATGAGTGAACTAAGGAGATAATTTTCTTTTCTTTTTTTAATACAAGCCTATGTCCTTGTCAGTAGGGCTGGGCAAGAATCGTTAAAATTGGAATCGACGGTTCCGATTCTCTGCCAATGGAATCGCCGGAATCGATTCCAGAATTGATTCCTCAAAGTAAACAAATACATGTACTGCCATAAACTTATAGGGAGCAGAGCAACTAAAAGGCCTCCCCCCATGCCTCACGGTCATGGGACTGCTAATCTCTGTCATGTCATCACTACTGTCTTGGAAGGACAGCATGTAAATATATTAAATATTTACATTTTATTTTATTTGGGGAATACAATAAACTTAAGAAAGTAATGAAAGATGTTTATTCCTTACTTCTTTGGTAAGTAAAATATTTTTGTTGTAATTACCAAAATCTAATTTCCTTTAAAATATAATATCAATAATTTGGAAATAAACATGTACAGTACTTCTTATCTGTTTACTTTACAGAAATATAATTTCCCTAGTATAAAAATAATGCCAATCATTTTGGAAATAAATACATAACTGATCATTATGATTATAAACATTACTCCTTCACAGTTCACACATACACTAATGCCAATTGTTGATCAACCATAATAGTTAATTGAAGCCAATATTGGGAACGTAATATAGTTTTTATTCAAACACATTCATGCAGCAGTGTAATCACAAAGAAACCAAAAAACTGTACGTAACAAAGATATTTGTTATCAGTCTAACCTCTTAATTAATTAGAATTGATAATTAACAAAACCGTGTCTCTTTCCGTAACAAATGACTGCAAATTACAAGGAGTGTCTACTCTACTTTATGTTCTTAATAAGGAAGAGGATGATCATATTCACGTTTTTGTCCTTTAGACGGCTACGTCTTTGGGACACTAGTTCGCCAGCCTTAGAAAAAAGCCTTTCTGAGGGCACTGATGATGTTGGGGAGCAGAGGAACATTTTCGCTTGTTCTTGGAGTTTGGGGAAAAGTGCGGCATGTTTTTTCCACCATTCCAGCAGATCTTCTTCACTAGGAATTGGCGATTCTTCCATATATCTTCTCATTTCAATATAAGGCCCTGTAGATGGGTGTGTTGAAGAAACGAGTGCAATTTTTTCAACCTTGGCATCGAATTTAGCCCAGAGTGAGCCTTTCTTTGGTTGTGTTGTAACAGTTTGTGAGGAACCTGGAGACTCCGCTTGTACTTACATGCTTGTAGATGGTTCTTGTACTTCTGTTGTTTCTGCATGCCCAGTACTTGCCAACAGTGCGTAAGAGAGACGTGACCGATCACCCAAGCGGCTAATGAGCCGATCAGTGGTGAAGAGGATAAAAGTAAGTAAAAGTAACGGCTACGCGCCAGTGCGGCGCCACAGGAGGACAGGGTAGGACAGTCGACAACTTGCTCTCACTGTCAAGTTAGTGGAATCGCTTCATGGGAATCGGTTCCCAAATTGGGAACCGATTCTGAGGTAGCTCATCAGAATCGCAGGAATCGATTCCTGCCCAGCCCTACTTGTCAGATGTGCTCTTTAAGGGAGGCAGTGGAACTAACTCTTTTTACATGAGTTTTCTTTCCCCTATCGTGCCACGTGGATCTTTTTCTATAGAAAATAATGAAGAACTGTAAATGTTTTAAATTTATATGTAATCTGAATAGTCATTTTGTAAATCTGAAAATCCAAAACATATGCTGCTGACTCATTACAGTAGTCATGATTGAAGTGGAGGGGATTCAATAGAATCCACTGTCACCCATCGTTATAAGAAAAGTAAGGGTTTTGGTAGAGAGTTCCTGGTCGTGAAAAAATCACAGTAATTGTCTACATAACTGAAATTGTGAAAAGGAGCAATTTTGAAGAAAAAATCCTACCTCTTGAATATAAAAAAGGTATTAATATTTTAGTTCCGGTTATTGGGGGATCTTGTGGGGGGAAGCCCCCCCGGTTAGGCTCGGTATAATTCCTGGGCTCTATGGCTAGGCTAAGTTAGATTAGGTAGGATATCTAAATACAGGGATGACTGAAACATAAATACAGTACGTACACATATTTGACTCAAAGATTACCTACCAAGCCATAAAAAATAGACAAATAAATCATGAATTGTTTTTATTATAGGCAAAAAAATAATTAAAATATAAATACCTGTACCTTTAATTATTATTATTATTTTTTTTTTTCTCACTGTGGTTAACCACACAGTATGGGGTTATGCTAAGCAGGGTCCCTAGCACAAGATGAATACGAGTAAAATTTAATTTTATCTGTGTACACCTTTAACGATGGGGTTGCATTGCTGGAAACCTTGCGTTAAGCGAAATAATTGTTAAACAAAGGATAAATAACCTGGAGATTCGGTCTTTGGGGGCAAGTGGCGTGGGCACAATAGGTGATGTATGGGTAAAGTAAACATAGACAAGTGACAGTAGAAATATGCAATTTGAGCACAGAATCCCCAGTTTTGCCCCATCCCAGTGATTTAAGCTATCGCTAAATCGAATTTTGACCTAACGTTAAGCGATAAAGGGTGTAAACAAATTTTCTCGAAATGAGGGATACCTGTACTGTAATGTATTTTTTAATTTGCTTATGCATTACAGGTATAGAAGCAAAATTATTGTTGAGAAGAGTAAAGTTGGAATTGAGAACCTTTAGTGGTTTATAATTTAGGTGAGTTTGGAAATTACCTGGGAAGCATTAAAGACATCACTGCCATCATTCTACAGTTCCAGAAAATGGAAAATGAACCCAGACTGAACAAGGAGTTAAACAGGATTAACCATTAAGTTGCTTGAAAAACAAAAAGTATTGATTACTAAGACCGTGATCAGCTCTTGGTAAAATCAGATGCTGTTACATGGTGGTTTGTTTTCATTTACCGGAGTCATGTGGTCATTGCATCCTTGACGCTTCATGAGGAATTTTAAACTTGCCCAGAGAAATATGTAGAAATTGTAGAAATACACACATATGAGCCATAAATGCTGAAGGTCTCAGTATAGTATAATTAAAAGTACATGAAACTAAACTTGAAATTTACCTGAATTTGTGCTGCATTTTATTTAATACAGTAAAAACAGTGCAGAGTATATATGACAAATTGAGTTTTTGCCATGTTGCAAATGCCATTAGAAATACCCACATACTGTAATAGTGAATTACAGTACAGGATACAGTATGTATTTACAGTATATACTCGTATATATTTTGCAATATGGGTTACCATCCTCTTAAGGCAAGCTGCAGGTAGAAAGAAATTATGGTTTAATTACCAGGTATTGTTTAATTAAATTTCTTACTTGTAGAACTGTACAGTATTGACCTTTACCTTAATGTTTTTAAATACTGTAATGTATGTTAGACTGGTAGCTTACCGATAATTGTTTCAAAGTTACTGTACTTGTCATTCTATGGTCGTCCTAAATTCTATACTACACCAAAAATTAGGTATATCTTTAAAATGTGAATTTTAGGTTAATTAAGGCATGTTCTCTCTTATAATTTCTCTGAGTTTAGCTGGTCTATGAATTTCCGGAGGACATGTTATCTTGTATTGTTTCCAAGTTAAGATGAGAAAAAAAATTATTAGGTTTCTTGGCACAATCTCTAATTAAAGTTGAATTTCTGCCATATAATTTGACATGGTAAGAAGTCATTAAGATTCCCCAGATTTTGGTATGAGTAAACGTGTGTAGAAAGACAAAATAACTTTATATTCGAGCCAGACTGTTGAAAAGACCTAGAAATAACCCATACTTTATGTTGAGAGAATTTTTGTATTTAAGAAATTGAAACTTTTTTGAAACTTTTATTTTCTCACCCATGATAAATATCATACTGTAAGTACATTTAGAATACCTGTATAATACTGTACTGTAGTTTTACTGACAAGGTAAATCTAGATACAGTATAATACCATATACTGTACTACTATACTGTAATGCAAGTACTGTACTGGTAGATCCAAGGGCACATTAACCCCTTGTACAGTGTTCTCTCTGCTGAATAAATTTGTCTGGGTTTAGCCAAATAAAATAACGAAAGTGGTGTCCCTGTAGTAAAATGATTATTACATACTGTAGTATTCAGTGTCTGTTATGTAGAGGTAAAATAAATCTTTATAATAACTGAGATATACCTGTACTGTTAAACACTAATAATTTTTAAAGTTTGCTAAAGATTAATATGTATAAGTGGTGTGGTAGTCATCCCTCACCTTGCTGCTGGACGTGGTAGTTGATGGGGAGCTGCCGTACTATACTTTTGATGGAAGTTGCCATGTCAGTTTTAACAAAGTGAATGTCAATAGAACAGAACGAAGTGAATGATGTATGTGAATGGAAACAAGCAAGTCAGATAAAATGCAATATGAAGGATGACAAATACTGATCATTTACAGGTATTTAAGGTTCATAAATTCTTGCATTTGCATCTTAATATGACAATGTCCATTGTATATGACTGTTTTCTTTTAGTTTCCATCCATTAGTGCAAGTTTCCTCCAACAAATTATTTTTAGATTTAATGAGATTTATTTTCTTTGTAAAACAGTGGTCACATTCTTTTGATGAACCAAGATTTTGTGGTTCTAGAGTTCTGCCCCTTCATATTAAAAAAAAAATACAAACCACTAATTATGGTGGGGGGGTGAGGTGGGGTCATTGGTAGGGATATCTTGTTTATGTACAATATATACAGTAAGCAAAGTACTACTCGGTAACTTTTTAATTAATTACTGTACTGTATATCATTAAAGTAAATTAAGTGTTGTACCAGTACAGTACTGTACTACATAAACAGGAATGGATAGTGATTTAAGAGAATAACTAGTACTGTATAGCAATGATAAAGGCATTGCACCTGTACATTATGCATATTCTGCTGATTATTGTACTCTTTGGGGAAAATAGCCTGTGGGTAAAGGTTATTGGCTGTATGTCTGAGAAATATGCAGAACTAAAGGAAAGAGGTACATTTGTAGACAGAAGGAGGTTGGTGGTTTTATGCATGTAAGACCTAAGTGTTGAACAAGGAGAAAGATGGGTAAGACTTTGAGGAAGAAAGTATTTTGTGTGTCTCTGTGTGTGGGTATGTATATACTCTCACATAAGCATATATTCTTTCTATTTGGTCAGCAGAAAAATAGTTGCTAGGGATTACTGATGTACTCAAGTCATTTTCTCAGTACTGTACAAGGTACCATAAACTGAGGTCCACACTAACATGAGTTTCTTTGACCACAGGGAGAAATGAACAAACCTTGGGTAACAGAAAGCATGAAAAATGAAATTATGAAGAAACACAAACTTCACCAGAAGGCCAAGAAGACCAAGAGCAAAGAGGACTGGGACGAGTTTAAGGAACAGCGGAATAAAGTGACGACTATGCTACGGGAGGCCAAACTGGAGTACATAGGAGCACACCCAGAAGAGGTAGGTAGTCTTATAGATCAGTGACCCTGGAACGTCTGGAAGTACTGTAGTCGTGGGGGGGGAAGGCATGGTGCAGTGGACCCAATGTTAGGCAAGTTTGTGTGGGAGTCATTTATTCAAGTACTATAATGTTATGAGTTAATTCATGTTCTGCTCTGAGGGTTTTCAGAAAATATGTAAATACTTGAAGGAATTTTTCTGTAGTTATATAAATATATATCATTGTCATAGTTGTTCCTGTAATTCGATACATAACATATCAGGAAACTGTATATGATTGATTTTGTCCTGTTCATATGTTTGTGAATTTACATGATCTTTGAGGTCCCCACCATTCTTCGCCTTTGACTTATTGGTCGTCGTTGGGGAGGAGGAGGAGAAGCGAGACAACTTGCATACGAGGTGATGTTGTCACTTATCATTAAAATGGCCGTCTTCAGCCGCTTAGTCATTTCCAGTCAGAACACACATGACATCTACTCTCCAAAGTTTGCTAACAACTTGGAATGTTTTCTTGAACTATTGAGAACATCACCTTCTCATCTGACTTGTGGGAACCAGTCCAGGAATGTCAGATTTTCAATTTTGCCTGAACCACTGATGCATGAGCTGAATCGCTCTTTGTCATTTGGGTGTAAACTTAAATTTAGTTTCAATGCAAATTAATTTTTGAAAAGTGCCTTAAATTCATAGGCTTTGCTTACTCAAAAGTAATTCAGTATTAGTACAATGTTTTCTAATTCTCAGCATGATGCTGTATTGCCTAACTTACGTGTTATCATCTCACTTTGCTTTAAAGACAAAATTTTTGTTGTGGTTGTGTTGGTTGTGATGTAAGTGGTCCCTCCTGTTGCTCTTTCGGTAGTGGACCAGGCCCAGGCCCAACCCACGCCATATTAACATTATATTTCACACAATTTACAGGATGTGGATAAAATATTGGCGGAAGCAGCCATGCAAGGCAACATTAAAGATGAGGAAAGTAAAGGGGAGGCGTCAGCCACTAGTGAAGCTAAAACGGACAGTTCGGACGCCCCCGAGGGGGATGGGGCAAAACCCCAATCCATGGACCAGACAGAGGAAAACGGGGAGGATATAGTGGATCAGAAAGAGTTAAACACCGATGTACCAATGGCTCCCCTGGCCCCAGAAATAGTGGGGGACATAAAATCGGAGAGCAATGGGGAGAGCCAAGTGGATGTTATAGCACCTGGTCAATAGGCTCTGAGCCGTGACCACAACCCACCCTGCCACTTTATGCTGCTATCATAGGAGCTAAAATATACTTTATATCTAAACTGTATTTTTGAACTAGTGTTATACTCCATACATTTTAGACTTAGAAAGTAAATGTTTTTAAAAAAAGTTTTAAAAATCAGTCTTGCACTAAATTATTATTTATATGACTGTATTCACACATAATTAATTTACTTTAATTGTCCAGATGAAGTCATTAATTTTAACTTAAGGTTATGAGATCTTGTATCAATATCTCTTATATAATTAGTGATTTTTTTGTGCAATTGAGACCATTGGCTCATTATGAATATGTTTTCACATAGGTTAAGGAAATAAATTGATAGTAAATGAAATGGGTGTTTAAATAAAAAAAGAAACAGTAGCATGCTTATGGCAGTATATGCCTCTCAGTGGCTCAGTTTTCACACCTTTGAAAAGGTTGCATGACAATTTGGAAGCAAATAATGCAGATCATATGATCCTATAAACTGTAATTGGTAAAATGTCAAGTTCATGCAACCTTAGTGGCGATTGCTTCACATTGTCTAAAGGAAGAGAACTTGTGTCATATGGGGTCAGTCTAACACACCACTCGGGTGCACAAGTGGACCTTCCAACTCATCCCAGCTCACAACGAACTTGTCTCTACCCAGCCTATGCTTTGTGTCTCCCGTCTCCCTGTGGTTCTAGACTTGTGGCCATTGCTTAGGGTGATGTCAGGTCCTGGATCACTTGTCCCTCTGGATGACAGATCCTCTCCTCTCTGGACTAAGGCATTGTCACATCCCTGGGGCTGATACACTTGACTCATCTAGCAGGCTAAGGCATCAATGTTCCAACTCATTTCTCACCTTATTATTTTCATTACTTTTATTTTTATTTTTAGTTAATTTTCAATACAATTAGTAAGCACTGGTTTATGCAACCATGTCACCTATGTGCTTTAATTGATTTTGAATTCCTCAAGTTGTTTCGTGTACCAGTTCTGTGCTGAATTGCACGAAAGTTTTGTTATTTAACTTCCCTTAATAAAATGTTGTGCGCTACGGTGACATGAGTTGATCACTATTTATCATATAGTGGCATAACAAAAATATGCCCCCAAAACTGTCAAGAATCTTAGCTGCCGGAATCAGCATCGGTCTGTGGCTCAGCAGGTAAAGTTACCCATCAGCTCTTGGCTGACTTGTTTCACCAGCTTTATGCTGATCATGTTGTTCTTACTACAGTCTTGTGTGTTAATCTCTTGTAAAAAAGTAAGAAAAAAAGTACAATTCATGATATTGCTCAAGAGTAACAGTGCTCTTTGTACAAAATTTAATGTGCTATAAATCGATTCTCACTTAATTGAATTGTCTTTCAAAGCCGTGACAAAATTATTCAGTAGACATAGCCTAGCCAGTGTGGAATGTTAGAGTATTTGTATGGTAAGTTGGTTGTGACCCATTACCAAATTTATATAATGACTCCTCATGTTATCTCAACAGTGATCACCATGTGGCTGGGTGGCACCAGTACATGCAGCAAGAGCATCACCAACTGAGTGGTGCATCACTCAGATGTTATGGTTGACAAGCAATACCAGTGCTTGTACACCTCTTTCACAATTCCCTCTGTCATCCTTTGCCCTGGCATATACCATCATGGACCCAAAGGATGTATGTAGTTAGAAAATGGCGCATCATCAACATGAAACTTTTCGTTGACACCAGAAGCTGAGAAAGACTTTTCCTGCATATCAGCCTACCTTCAGGAATTGGTATGTATTTGCTTATTAGCATTTTTTTTTTTAGTAACTGTCGTTCATAAGATTTAGGAAGGTTATAATCTAGACCTTCTAAAACATTAGTACAGCATGCACTTACAATTTGTGGATGACATCCTGGATGTACCCAAGAATTTATGCAGGTAGTTTTAAAGTTGGCGGCATTTTCATGGCCGGGATAGAGAGCCTGCGAGTTTTATGGCATCCTGCAAGACGTCTCTCTTGTCCCAGGTGGCTGGGCCATATGCGCTCACTCAGCTTCAGTGACAGTCCGGGTTAAACACTTGTTCGTTTTGCACGTGCTGCTCTGCTTTCTTAACAACTGTGCTCCTTGTGCTTATGATGTCTCCCAAATGTTCTCGACCACCTTCATCCAGCCGTGGGAAGGTGCCCAAACAAGTGAAGAGAGAAAAGAAGGTCATGTATTACTCCCATACATACGCTTGACAACGGGAGCGGGTAAGGGGAGTGAGTGACTGTTAGTTAACGTGTTGTTTGCAGTTGTCACTCATCACTTCCTGGCATATTTCACTGAATTTGCTGTTATTAGTAGTGTTTACTGATAGAATAGTGTTTAATAGTGATTAATCATGGCATTGTAGCTAGGTTAGCTCATTATTGTAACCATCAGGCTACTGGGCCAAGTTGTGAGGTGTTATGGTTTTTCAACTCTTATTTTCAGGTAGATATACGTAACTTTCTTCATTTATTTTTATTCGGTTGCATGCACACACCATCGTAAATACATGTTGTGAAAATAGGTAAAAGAAATCATTGTCCTAAAGGCAAACACATAATGGGAGGAGAGCACGGAGTGTTGCTGGTGGGGAGTGTTGCTCAGGAATCTGTGTCCCAGCTGATGTTCATTACTATAGTGGAGCAGGTAGTGTATGCAAATGGCAACTGTGTTACACTTTCATTTGGCTTTTATTTACTGGTTTGGCAATAGTATTTTTTTTTGTTAACTTACTGGTATTATTTTTATTTAATCCTCACATTGCCTGGTACTGTATGTATTATTTTAAGAAAACTATGGATGTGAGGTATTGTGGTTGTTTTTCAACTCGTATATTTCTGTACATATACGTAACTTTCTTCATTTATTTTTACTCAGTTTCATGCACACACCATTCTACATGCATATTGTGAAAAAAGTACAGTATTACACCACAATTACCTGCATCCTTCATGTTGGGTTGGCTAGATGGCTACAAAAGAAATTTTGAAAGTTTAATCTACTCATCAACCCGCTGACTCTCGGATGCCATTCGTTCTATAGACAATAATTTTGATGAGGAAAAAATTGCTGTATGGCAACTCAACCAACCCAACTTTAATAACAAAGCATGGAGTTGACTTGAGGGTAGACTCGCATTTTTTCTACATTTCGATACATTTTGTTTTGTCTGATTATTTGTGAGAGGATTTGCCCAATATTATTTATTTGTATGTGTTTTGTGTGAGTGTGTGTATGGCCACACACACACACACACACACACACACACACACACACACACACACAGTCGTACCCGGGTTGACCTTCACACAGTGAGGTCCCAGGTACCCAGTGATAGCGGCCCGTGAGACCCAACAACCAGCGATGTGTTAATCCGTCTACGATAGGAAGGCCTGGGACCACACCTCACTCATATAACACCATCTGTGAGGGAATTATTACACCACGTCAGGCCCCTCATAACACCATATGTGAAGGAGTTACTACACCACGTGAGGCCCCTCATAACACCATCTGTGAGGGAATTACTACACCACGTGAGGCCCCTCATAACACCATCTGTGAGGGAATTACTACACCACGTGAGGCCCCTCATAACATCATCTGTGAGGGATTTACTACACCACGTGAGGCCCCTCATAACACCATCTGTGAGGGAACTACTACACCACGTGAGGTCCCTCCTAACACCATCTGGGAGGGACACTAACACCACGACGTGAGGCCCCTCATAACATCATCTGTGAGGGAATTACTACACCACGTCAGGTCCCTCATAACACCATCTGTGAGGGAACTACTACACCACGTGAGGTCCCTCCTAACACCATCTGGGAGGGAGTTACTACACTACGTTTTTGCTGTTCAACACCTACATTAATCTGTATGTTCACTGTATGTTCCTTTACCTTTCTCTAATGAAGGCTTTTGTTAAACCACCAATGTATGTAATAAGTCATTTATGTCCAATGTATATTTTCAGCCTTCGGGCTGCAGAACTTTTTCAATAAACCGTCAATTATTATTATTATTATTATTATTATTACACACACACACACACACACACACACACACACACACACACACATACATACATACATACAGTACAGGTAAAAGAAATACTTGTTCTAAGGGCAATGCATAAAGGGAACATACATATCTTTGCACAGGAGTAAAAATGTATCAACCCTCACACCAGTCAGCAAATTATATTCGCGGTTTTGGTAATTCGCGGCCATTTTGAGACCCAAACTCCCTCGAATTTTAAGGGCATGCTGTGGTCTGTTGCTTGAGAAAATGTATCAAGTGATACAAGCGGGGAGTCTTTTAAGTAGTGGGCTGAATGTGACTGATGATTTATAATAATGAAACTCTTATTCTCTTACATTTTTCCAAATATACAACAAATACTTTTAACCTGTTTTTTTTAATTACCTGATGGCTTCTTATGGGGTTACCAGAGTGAGAGGGGTAAAAAATGTTTGAAATGGCAGAAGGTGTAAATTGTGAAGCTGAAGAGAGGTTTGCAGGGAAGAAAATAGTAAAGGGTTAGTACATGGTCAGTGTAGTAGGTGTGTTGGATGGAGGGAGACCACTTACTGTATATAGTGGCAGGGAAAGTTAAAACAAAACATGGAGAAGAGACTAGGGAAAAATATAGAGGGCAGAGGGGATATGTAATTGTAGGGTGGCTTGGAGGCTCTTCTGTTATGGCCACCTCCACTGAGGAAGTTCCCTGGAGGAGAACAGTGTTGTAGATGCTCCTGTGCACAGTGGTGGGTGCTACACACATACTGTATAGGTTTACGGTCAATTCGCCCATATTTAGAGTTTATTCGGCCACACTAAGGAGTCGGTTCGCCCACACCTGAAGTCAGTTCGCCCACACATTGTCAAGTTGTATTTGTTTATTCATGTACTAGATAACAATGTAATATATACAAATTAAGTTTCAGGTTGTTTATTTGGTGACATTCAAATTTAAAAACCTATATAAAATACACAAACTAAAAAGTTTCAAAATTTCAATCATAGAAGTAACATACAGTACTGTATATAGTGGATTTAGGATGTTTGGTCACATATCAGCTGCTAACTGGTCCATTGAGATGGGTGCAAGGTCTTAGAAGTTGGCAAGCTGACGCTTTGTTCCTCAAGTATTCGTCCCAAAGAGCGAATATTTTGGCCTGCAACTCTCTATACTGTACTGTACTTTCTTCGCTGGATCCTTCGGAGCTTCTTTTCTGATACCAGCCTTATATGTACAGAGGTTAATCTGGCCTCTTTGTGGAGAAGGTTAACAAGCAGAGCCAGTTGATGCTTGCAGCAGTGGTTGCTCTTTTCATATGTTCCATTTCTCTGGGTAACTGTGGCCTTGCATGGGTTATCTTTCTGGAGGACAGTACACTGCTAACATGTTGCATTTGGCTGGGGAGGAAATGCATTCCCCCCCACCCCCTTATTCCACTAATAGTTATGGAAAAAATTTCCCACTGTTAGTTGTTTCATTATTAGTCCCTATTTTTGAGTGAATGAACCCCCTGTATTCATAATTTACTTCTGTGTGTGTGTTGTGTGTGTGTAAGGCTTTTGGGTCAGGGTAGCAAAAATCAATGACATTTTTGTTGGCAGCCGTCGTAAGTTTATCCAGTTGTGACAAATGAGTGGATACTGTACGCTGCTCGCCTCCTGCTCTAGCATTCTCTGGTTCATGCCTTGAGCACCCCCAGTCAACCCAATTGTGAATTGGTCCTCAATTATATAGGGGAAGTGTAGGTAATGAAGTGCAGTGCTGGCCATATTGCTTCCTTGTACAGTACTATGTTGAGGCTGGCTCCATTTTGCTTTTGATGGTCAATCAAACCCATAAGTCCCACCTTTGATTTTTATCGTGTCTTGGTAGTCATATTAATTTTTCAGGTTTTGCCAAATACCTTTTGGAAAGTTGAGTCAGCAGGATGTCTTCTATTCAAAGATTCATGGTTTTTGTCTGACCTAAACATTTATTGCTGCTTTTTTGTTTCCTCCTAAAGAATTTTAAGTAAAATGTTTGAAGTTATTGGGTTACTTTTACCAAAATGTTTCAAGAGTTATTTATTTATTTTGGTTATGTTGGGTAACTAGTTCAAGGGGAATCCACTTTGGTTCCTTGTTTATTTTATATTTGTTTTAGTTCTTGTCTTTAGCTCTGACCTGCACGGTAAAGTATGTACACGCTTCACTTTTCAAGAACAATGTCAGTAAATCATGTTTACCAGGGCATAAGTTATGTAACTGTTGATTGGGGCTCTGGATTCTGAAGGCTTATCCTTTCTTGGTGGGTTGTTACTGAGAATGTTGGAGGAAATGTATATGTCGGTCCAAACATTTTACTTATTGGCAAAGAAAATTTTTCTTAGATACAAATGATAACTGTGGTAGGAATTTACCTGTGACATTGCCTAATTAATATAAGGAAATTGGTCTTATGTTACTGGTGAAATGTTAAAACTTATGTGGAACGGTAAAAACAATATGAAGTGTTTGAGGGAGAGAAAAACAAGGAGGGATGACTTAAATACGTATTACAAAAGTTAATTCAGTAAAGAAGAGCCAAGTGAGAAAATTCAAGATTCATGAAGAGTAAAGATAATGAAATTTAACTCTGGCAGAGCTATATTCATTGTGAAGTAAATGTGAAAAGACAGAGAGAACATTTTTATGTTGAGGACTGTTGGAAGTTTAGGAAATAGAAAGAAGGGTATTAGATATGGATAATTTTATAGATTTGCCAGTAGTGCTTGGACAGCAGTCGACTCAAGCTGTTCTACTGACGAGATCATTTTTGAGATACAGTAGATGCATAAACTTATTTGTAAATAGTCAATGATTGATATTTGTATGTAATCTATTATACTGTGTATCTCTTTACAGATGAGTGAAGGATTCAGGTATGAAAGGTATGGCATCAGCAGGATGGATTATTCTTTGTATTTTATAATAAAGTTACTATATTATTTGTGTATTTTTTTATACATAATTAGTTATGTTTATATATCACTTAAGAGTAAATTTTGATGATAGGAGGCATTACATCTAGAAAATAAAACACTGCCCACCACCCTAATTTGGGGAAATATTGGATGACGTTATTGGCTTGACCCTGGAAGAATATCTAGTCGAGCTTGTGTTTGCTTCCATTAAGCTTTAGACAAAAACCACCCTGAATGCTATGAAGGAGAAAAGAAGATTGTGTAAGGCCTGACAGAAGAGAGCTGGCAAGGAGTACCTGGAGGCCAAGTGGAAGGCTTAGAAGAGAGGTTTAAAAGGCAAAGAAGTGTGAAGAGATTGCATTCATGGATACTATGCTGAATCGTACAGTATGGATGCAAGAGGCGAGGTATTCATAGCCAGGCAAATAGTAAGTAGAAACAAGGATATTGATGAGCAGTGCATGAGATATGACCATTATAATGTAGTTGTTGATAAGAAAATCAAGGATGCCTGGAGAAAATATGATGATCAACTGCTGAATGAGGGGTACAAATGGGACACCAGCTGTAGTATTAGTCCGCCAATACAGTAATCGGTTTTAGGGCTTAAATTCGTTACCATTTGAGTAAATATCAAGAAGGTTGTACTATTCAATAATTTTCCAAGTCTTACATTAAATTTTTTAGTCGTTTTAACAATTATTTAACATAATTGAAGTACAGGGAACTAGTTTTTAGCGCGCCAATCAGCCACTTGACTCGCCCAGAATGGCGTCAGTTTGTGACTGCTCAGTGGAGGAAGCATCTTGTTTGAGACTCTTGAACATAAACTATTTTTACAGTACAATTATTGGTCATTCTGAAATTTATTTTACATATTGACAATATATAGTGCAGTGCAGTGTTGATTTAAAGAAAATAATCTTGAATTACACCTAGTGAACTTAAAATTTTATGTGTGAAATGGCGGCATGAAGCATGGGGTGACTTCTCTTCTCCCTTCTCCTCCACCCCCACGTCTAATTCCCATCATCATCATCATCATCAACCAGGAGCCTTCTACATGCACACCTCAAAGTAAGTGTACTTTACTGCATTAATTTTAGTTTGTATGTAATTTTTGGTGAGCTGGAACCAATTAACCCAAAATCTCATTGAAACAATGGTTTCGGTTAAAGAACGACCTTCTGGAACGAATTGTGTTCGTTAACCGAGGGACCACTACAGTAATTGTACTTCATATGAAGCATTACATAAGACAATGAAAGTCTGTCATGGTACTGTACCAGGATCCCCTGGCCTGACTTAAGAGAATGGTAAGGACGAGAAACCTGCTTTGTCATTATCCTACTGAAATTTCAGTTGGTAGAAATCTGCCAATATTGGGCATAAGGCAATGACTAGTGGGTCAAAGTGTCCCTCACACCAGTGGCTAATCAGTATAGCCTTGAGATGCTGCCTTCCAATGAGCATCCAATATGAGCCTCTGCCATGTAGTTTATTGTTTACAGAATCTCATACTAGTTATTGTACTCCCCTCTGGTGTTTATTTTGTTTAATATTTGTGAATTGGGAGTTCCTCAGATATATGTCTTGATGATCAGCCAGTTATGTCTAGATATTCATGTAAGTGTAGGAGGAATATAGAGTACTGATTTGGTTTGACAGCAAAGAGAAAAAGGAACAGAGGTGAGGAATACAGTACTACATTAGTTGCAAAACTAAACAGCCTTTATATGTTTGTGGCGACTTCAGTATTTTAGGAATGGACAAGATTAAGGTTATTTTTGACAAGTAAATATGGTAGAAGCCTTGTGGGAAACATGAAAACCTATCCATTGCAGATTAGCTTAGTGTGTTGGATTTGCTCTTCTGTAGTGTCTGAACTACCCACTTGAGTTACTGAAACAAAACTTTTTTTTCTCAACAAAATGTCAAAATTCAGATACTGTACTATGAATAATCCGGGCTGTACTTGTAAAATAAAACAACTTGAGAGTATCAAGCTTTATAGCTATCTATCTAACAAGGAAGGCCAACGCAGCATCAGCACCTCAAGTGCCGCTCTCCAGTTTTTTGTAAGTAGAATTTTTATTAAAGTACCCTACTTTTTTTTTTTTTTACTTTTTATGAAATTTCTGTTCTGTTAATATTGTACGACCTTAAACATATACTCAGTGTCACGTATTTATTATTGTTCCCTCATAATAAACAAGGACAAGGGTACCTATGTGATTAAAAAATAAATCTTTTGACTAAATGTGGACTTATAAAGTTGTTGGAGTTATTTTTGTATGTTTTGGGGGGATTTTGTTATTGATTGTTATGCACCTCTGATTATGTAGTGAATGTCAATAGGAAAGTAAGTCTCATGACAGACTATTTTTCAGGACTATAAAACTTCATTTGTGTGATGCCTGTACAGTACTGTTATTTTACTGCACTTGGATGTGGAGGGAGTGACACAATTTTTTTTACACAGTACAGGTATTTCCTCATTAACAATCATCCATTTTACGATAATCCATGTTAATGTTGATGAGGTTTTTTTTTTAACACCCTCTTGCGATTTATGTTAGGCAAAATCCATGTTAACGATAGTTATCGTTAGGTTAAATTCACTGACACAGAATGTATAAACACTGGGGAAGCCCATATTTCCCTTCACTTGTTAAATCCAAATAGCCAATTTGCGCAGAAACTGCTTTTCCATCCTCCGCACAGCTTCATGGCCACCATGCGAACTACAGTCCCACACTTTCTTTCAGTGCCATTGCATCTGTCCTCACTCATGTAACATTATCGTTAGTCATCATTGTGTAACCCATGTGATAACTGATACTTTGCCGTTATTGGTGAAATGAAAACATTATCCTTCAGATTTTGCTCTTTTGGTGACTGAAGTGATTTTGCTTTGTCTTGATAAGTGTAGTGATCCATGTAAGTTTGAAAATGGCTAGCTCCATCAACAAGAGTTCCCATAGCCTCAGAGGTGCCATATGATGACCAGGCTTGTTATTATTAATGTGGTGAGTTTTTTTTTTTTTAATTAGTGTAGGATCGTTTTTTTTCTGTTTATCACACAAGCTAGGAACATATACCATTGTTTGTGTCACACAGGTCAGGAACATATACCATTGATTGTGACACAGGCTAGGAACATATCCTGTACCATCAAAACTCAGGTTAAAAGGCCCACAACCCTATTGTACATTAGGGAATACTTGTACTGTAATTTCCACTGTTCCAGAGCATCCAATACAATGATGAAGCCAGTAAAGTGATGTATCAACCATTTCAATACCCTTCCCTTTCCATGTAACTTTGATTACTGTACAACCATGCAGTACATCATTTGCCAAGTGCCAGTGTAGTGTATGGTAGATGTTAATTTATTTATCTTCACTGGTAAAAGGATTTAAATAAGATGACCATTGCAAATAATAAATTATTTATAAAATGAGACTACCTTTTCATTAGATAAGATCAACACAAATCCGTGAACTACAGTACAGTACTATAGTTTCAAATAACAGAATAGAAAAAATAATAAATATAATCTGATAAATGTCTTGTGTTCTATAAATCATATAGCCATCAAATTACATAAAAGAAACATTTTGGTCATCTGCATCATACATAGCAAAAACATCACCAAGCATTTCTGCAGGGACCTCTGACTTTCTCAACTGCAGTGAGTAACAAGCCTCTTCCACTTTATGTAAGCTGGATCTAAAAACCATCATCTTGTGGTAAAGTTCCTTGACTGGAATATACCCTAGGGACAAGAATCCTCCATGCATTCTTTTCAGAACATCACAGATTTTGTAACACATTTCAAAGTCTCCCGTACTCACACATTTGATACAAAATCGCATGAGTTCTCCAGTTAGGTCAGCAATACCGAGAATATATTCCTTGGGCTGCACAAGAACATTGAGGGGCACTAAATCTGTCTGGTCTTCCTTTTGGCTACCAAAGGTCAATCGACTCTTAACAGCATTGTGACTGATGAGGGTCTCTGTGAGCAGGAAGAAGTGGAAGGAAAGAGCTTCTATGTATTCCTGGATACCTAAAAATATAAATAAATCATTAATACACATGGTAAACCTTTATGTTGTTATATTTCTCTAATACAACATGAAATAACCAAACATCACAAGATTGATCCATTTGTTTGGATAGATATAATAGAGAGAATGGATAAGACCAATTGAGTCGAGATGCAAGAGTAAATGTAGGGAGAGGAGGGCCAGGCCAAGAATGACATGGGGTGTAAGAAAGAAATGACCAGAAGTAAAAACCTTGATGAGAGAGGATGCAAAAGATCGTGTAGCATTAAGTGCTGTAATTACGGCTAACCTAAGCAAGCGTGGAAAATGGTCATAAAATGTGAATCAATACGACTTCATGAGTAAAAGGGTAACTTTTTTGTGATGCCTAGTTTTTAAACCAATTCATCGTGAATTGGCATTAGAATTATCCAGATGATGAATTGAACCTTGTACGTACAGTCTATGGAATGGCTTAAAAAGTTTCACATATGCCACCCAATTTAAAATAATTAGGTCAAACCTTTACTATTAATTATAGTACAATAAACCACTGGTAGTAGGTAATAGGCAGCTACCAAACAGGGAGGTACTACCGCCTGGGGAAGATATTGGAAGCATAATGTGCTGTCTAATGGTAGACCCTGCTGCCATATGGCATCACGAAAATTGTGACCAAGTCCCAGGTTGCTGATCTGTCTTACTGCCTCATTTACACACAATTGTAGGGTCTCAATTGTTTCTCTTACATGACAACACAACATACATATAGCTTTTCTCACTATTGATTTTTTTTCATTCTTGTATTTCTTTGTATTAATTATTATTATCAGTGTTATTATTATTACCCGGTATTATCATTAATATTTTATTTTACATTTTATTAAAATTTTTATTTACTATGAATTATTATTATTATTACATTTTCGCCTCCTGGGCCCTGATGTGGGTCAGTGACCTGTGCCCGGGAGGGCTAATCCCAGTAAAAAAAAAAAAAAAAAGTAAGTCGTAACACCCAAAAGGCATGATCATCTAGTTGATAGGTCAAGTTCATTTTTTGTCCAAATCCAGTTCTACACTTAAACATGTAAAGTGCTACAATTTCCAGTGTGTGTGTGGATGATCATCTAATGATGTCTAGTTGATGTACATTCCTGAAAACTAGACCACTGTGACCTTTTATTGTGGATTTTACACAAATGCATCATGGTACAATCATCAAACTTCATAGGCATGTTCATCTAATGATATCTTTCCCCTTTTAAAATCAGGTCACTGTAAGTAAACATACATATAGGTTGGAAACTTTAAACCATGATGTATCTTTAAAGGAGTGACTGCTTTGGTAAACTATGGATCTGAAAGTCAAGAAGAGTTCATTGTCATCATCACCATTTTATGAAAATTTTCTACACTTTTGTGGGTTAGCTGTGATTCCCTGATGGCACCTCTATGCTGCACAGTCTCTTGCAGCCTCTCTCACCAGGCTCTTAACTCTGAGGTAACTTTTATAATTTCTACTGTTGACATTCTTGGCCTATGCCTAGCTTTCATTCCCCTACATTCAAACTCATTCATCTCTTGACCCAAATGGTCTCCACCAATCTTTCCACATGTCCAAACCAACTCTGCCTATTTCTACACAAAATCTCCACAATACCCAGCAGCACTCCTGGCTTGAGTCCTATCGTTCCATCTCACCATTCTCATTTATGCTCACTCATCTTTAACTGCCATACAACATCACATTTCTCATGCTGGATGTATACATTTTTCTTTTCACATGAAAAGGTCCTCTTGCTGTCAATAAAGGCAACAGCTAGGAGTACTATAATATGTGTAGGATCTGGTCAAGAATGCAAATTAATATGAAGACAGTTACCTGAAGTGAATGCATTGACAAACTGGTGAGGATCCTCATCCCTGAGTTCCATAGCAATGTGCTTCAATAGTGTTTGTTCAATATCTCGCAAATCATTAGCTGCAGAGGTTAGTAAATTTTCTTTTTCTTCTTCTCCTAACCTGAAGTAATCAACAGAGAAATTAGCTATATATTTACCGAGTATATATATATATTGAAGCATTTAAGAAATGTGACTGGGTTAAGATACTAAGAATGTTACTGTAATTTCATATAGAACAGTAAAAGAAACAAGGAGATCTAACCATATCAACAACATGACCTCCACAAAGAATACAAAAATAATGTACAAATATAATAGTTGCAGCAACCAATAAATCATAATGACCCACCCAGGAATTCTCTGTAATGAGAAGATAACTCTCTTGCTACGGACTGTTACATCTCTGCTTGTCTTATATATTCTCTCGTATTTATCATTCTTCTCATCTAGCATCTTGGAGTATCCCCGAAACAGTGTCATGAGTGGAGTGTCCCGGCTGGTGTCAGGAGGTTCCTTGGCATTCCTTCGTCCTTGTTCACCAGTGGGCAGTCGAACCTCAGTCATGGTTATTTCTGATGCTACTGCAATTATTTGTCTATTAATATTACCAGTATTATCACCTTTCACCATTTTATGCCCATTTTCCACACTAATGTGGGTTAGTCTATATGCTGGTGATGCCCATATTCACTAAAATTAACAATGACTATGGACTTAGCCCTTAAACTTATCTTTAATTATGAGAAAACTAAAAGGAAAAAAAATAAAAAAATTTCAATTCCTCCACCCAATTTGGATTATTCTTGAGATAAGAAATGAGTTTCCTTCTATAAAGATTTTACATTAGGTAGCTGGTTAATCTATACCCCTGTCCTATGCTATTATAAAATGTAGCACAGGTGAATCACCGCTATACACACAATGTGGGTGCGCAAGGGTATTTTTCATGGCCGATTATTATTTTAGGTAATTATTCGTTTTAGCACACACTCAAATTTTTTCACGATATGTTTGTTTTATGGTGTATTTTGATTTGTTTTGTTCTGATCTGACCTTGATCGAAAACGGCTATTTTCCATCAAAAACATAGGTGAGATCTGAAGAAAATGAGTCCAAATATATCAGAAACCAAACATCTAGAGTTCTAGACCCCTAACTTTCACTAAATTAACCTACCTTAACCTAACCTTACCTCGCCCCTGCAGGGGGCCCTAACGCCTATGGCCTCAGAAAACTCGCAATGGGACAAGAAATGACGGGTGGAGATTTATTTATCTACAGTATTCTCTTAGGTGTTCCTCACTTGTGCGACTTTTCTGAAAGAAACATGTTTCCAAGAAGGTTCAAGGGTTGAGGAATGTATATATGAGGTAGAAATTACCTAAAAATAAGTGCTTCTATGCAATTTGAAGATGTGCTAAACCAAATAATAACCTTATTTTATTATAATGCTTTTAAATGAAAAAAATAAACACATGAAAGTCATGATGTATTTGGGTAATTCATGTTGCATGGAATGAACCACCAAGCATCAGATGCAATCACCCAAATACAGATATTCATTGGTATTTTTCTGTTTGTATTAACTGTAAAATACATAAAACGATAATAGTGGAAAAATTTTACGAAATCAAACAACTTCTGGTGGTGTCCTCAGACATTACGAAGTGTTTTGACATGAATCGCTCAAATATAACATGAATATTTGTCAATTTTTAATTTAGAAACACTTAGAATTACAAAACTACAAATAAAAGCAGAGAACACACCACTGTCCACCTACAGTATTTTAAGGCGATTAGTGCTGCCGTTGTAGCACCTTAACTACTGTTGGCTAACGTAAATCCCATAAGGATATCTTTATTTACCATATCTTATAAACTACCAGGCATGCACATGGATCAACTACACTAAACTGGCACCTTAAAATGACAAAAAAATTGTAGAGGATGTATTGTGGACGTCCTGACAACAACCAATCTACAGTATATCGTCTGTGTTTGTTTACAAGGAATAATATAAGGAACTTGTGTAGATGGCGCTGGTGAGTCCTGGCTGTCTGTTGACATATTTTGCGCGGCACAGCCTTCACTTGGGCTGGGGGGCGTGGCGATGGTTCATAATGCCGGTGTAGCAGTTAAATAAGTACATGGAGTGTGTTAAGTACTACCTAAGAAATAACACCCATCGGCCAGGCAAGTAAATCACTGCGTGCGCGTGATCCAGGTTGGCAAATTCATTTTTACATAATTTGAGTTGGCAACGTTGTCACTTCGCTAGAGTGCAGTCCTGGTACCGTTGTTCAAACTTGTCTAGATTCTGGCCATTGTAGACAATATAGACAGCACTTCTCTACTGCCTTCGAAGAGGATAAGATAAGAATGTGTCATGGCTGAGGGTTTTAGATAAAACAATATTTACTTTTACTTTTATCCTCTTCACTACTGCAATAATAGCTGATTGTTCTATTAATAATTCTGAAGCGATTGTCAAAAACCAATTTAATAATTTTTGAGTTTGTTAGACATAATCCAGCATCACATTATTCCTAAAATAACATTTTAACGTACCTGTGTAGCCGATAGTGTGCGTGCCACTCTCCAGTACCTCCTGAGATGTTCTCTAATGCATCAACGTTTTTAACACGGCTATATATATATATATATATATATATATATATATATATATATATATATATATATATATATATATATATATATATATATATATATATAACAGTATGACAAGGTTAAATAAATTACAGATTATAATAAATAGTACGTGGTACATCAGTGATAAAATCAATTAAATTCCTACCTGGACCATCCTTACTTTTCCTGATCCTTTGGAAATATATGAAAAACAACCTCTGGATAATAATGTTATTGTTGGCCTGTATAGGGGCGAGCGACACACGGGTCATGTAACAGCTTCCCTGTTGTTGTTTAAACTAATAATATTATTATAATTGAATAGAATAATCCATATAATTTTAATTATTATTATTATTTATTGTGTAGGACTCTTAATAGACCTGAAAATATTACATTCAAAGTGTGGTGGGTCGTGACAAATGAAGCTGGTGAACGGTTACGGCAGCAGCAGTCGACAGATGGAGAGTGGGTTTGTTGTGAAGGAGCTGAGAATCCTGAGATATTTGAACTCTGATGTGAGGGAGCTGAGAATCGAGAGAATTTAAATAACTTGATTCACATTCTGTACCAAGCAAGGAAAGGGTTCTGCTACAAGTATTGCAGAGTTCTTAATACTGTACAGTAACACCGAAGTAGAGTATTATGTCCGCTGCCTCAAGAATATTTAGATTGGCTTGTCCAAAGTCAGAACTCCGTCTTGATATTACTCTGCAGTGTGGACAGTCATTTAGGTAAGTTTATGTGCAGTTAATTTATAGGGCGCCAAGCTAACTTGAACACGACCAACCAACCTTACTACTGTAACTTACCATTGTTACCAATGTGACTTACCTTTTACTTTTATCCTCCTCACCACTGATCGGCTCGTTAGCCGCTTGGTCATATGTCTGTTACACACTGTTGGCAAGTACTGGGCATGCACCGGCTCCTGATTGTATATGAACCTGCTCCAGTGTTGATCAAGTCTGGTCTTGGAAGAGCTCACACTCGTTGCTGTCACAACACTCTGGCAGGTTGTTCCACGAGTTCACAACTCTCACTCCGAAAAGTTAGCCCTCACAGTTTTCTGGACTTGTGGCTTCTTCAACCTTGAGCTTGTGGGGCGTGCGTCCGCCAGCTCCAGGTAAGAACACTCGGCTGAGTAGTGTCCTTTAAGATGTTTATACACCTCAATTAGGTCCCCCCCTTGTTCGTCTATTGTATAAGCTAGGCCATTACAGGAGCTCTAATCTCTCTGGATAGCTGAGGTGCCGAAGTGCAGGCACCAGTCTGATGGCTCTCCATTGATCATTTTCAATCAGCTGACAGTCCCTGGCATATCTCAGGGACCAGACTGGGTGACAGTACTCCAGGCGGGGAAGCATCTCGCTCTTGAAGATCGTTACGGGGGACGGACCGTCTAGATATCCGAACCACCTTCTTTCAAGACCTAATAATTTAGTTGCTTGGTTCACCTTCTCACAATGGCCCAAGAACTTCAGTTCATTGTCAACATACACTCCTAGGTCTTTTTCGAATTCAGTCTCAATTATTGTAGTTTCTTCGTTCCCTTTGGGACATATGATATGCCTCCTTGCCGTTGGTACGTCCCAGGTGCATCTTCTTACACTTAGGGACATTGAATCTTAGCAGCCATTTCCTCGACCATTCTTGAAGCTCACAGAGATCTTTTTGCAGCTCTTCACAGTCTGCTTGGTTCTTAATTTCCTGAAATAACTTGGCATCGTCTGCAAATATTTGTATGGAGGAGTGTATAGCTTCTGACATGTCGGTTATAAAGCACACAAACAACAGCGGGCCCAACACACTTCCTTGTGATACCCTCTTGTCACCGGTACACATGACGATTTCGTGCCTTTAATCACCACACACTGCTTGCGATCATAGAGAAAGTCTCCAGTCCGTGCTAGGACACTTCACCAAATCCCGTACTCTTCCAGTTTAATTTTCAACCTTTCATAGGGTATGCTGTCAAAAGCCTTGGCAAAATCTAGATATATATTGCCAGCTTGTTCCAGAATTCAGTTCCAGACATCCAGTACAATGAGTAATTGTGTTGAGCAGGAGCGTCCTGGTATAAAACTGTGTTGGCAATCCTTTACAAGGTTGTTTCATAGTAGATGTTCCATCATGGCATCTTTTATAATGCTCACTTTACATACTATGCTGGTCAGGCTCACTGGTCAATATTCGTGGAATGTCGATCGCCCTTCTTGAAAATAGGACTCACATAAGCCATTTTCCAATCACTGGGGACCTTTTGCTCATCCAGGCATTTACAGAACAGGATCTTCAGGGGCTCAACAAGCTCGTTGCACAACTCTCTTAGCACTCTGGGATGCACCATGTTAGGGCCGGGACTCTTATGAACCTTAGTTTTGAAGATTTATTTCTTATAACTTCTGAGAACACAATGTGGGTCAGCAGGAAGATTGTTCTCATCCTCCCTTGTGAACACCGAGGAAAAGAAATTGCTTCCTCTTTGTCTTGGTCAGAATATGCTTAACTACCATCTTCAAGCCCCAGGTCCGATACTCTTACTCGCGTTTTTAATTTTGACTTTGCCTAGCGATAAAATACCTTTGGGTCTGAGTTGACCTCGCTTGCAATAATCTCTGGAACTCATTTTCAGCTTTTCTACACTCTGACTTTGCTTGGTTCTTGGATCTGGCATACATCCTCCTGTCCTGTTCATCGTTTGACCCAACCAACCTTACCAATGTAACTTACCATAGTTACCAATGTGACTTACCAAACCAACCTTACCAATGTTACTTACCATAGTTTCCAATGTGACTTACCAATGTTCTTTTATGGATAGTCGATAAATAGGAATATTTGGTTGACAACAAAATGGAAATTTTAAGTTGTTTACCCTCGTCTTAAATCTTATCATTATGTTCTTATGTACTGTACAATATACAGTAGGTGCTTAAGCAAGTTAACAGACCACATCAAAACCCGCTTAGGTATTAAGCAATTCAAAGCTAAAACAAAGAAATACATAACAGATGAAGCTGCCAACACCAGCTAAGTTCCTACTACAGGGTAATGCTATTTTACTGTGAGTGCGCTCTGATTGGCTAAATACTTTCTGTTTAAGATAACGGGGGTGGGACCGCCCCCCAGCTAGGAAGTTAGGCAAGGCTAGGTAGGTTTCTTTGGTTGGTTAGGTCAGGTTCTAGTAAATGTTGCCTCTTTTATAATGATAAGAACATGTGGAAAAAAAAAAAAAAAATCGAGCTTGTTGTTTGCGCAGTTATACCATGACACTTCAACAAATCTGCTTTCATCAAAGTAAGTATTTTCTGATTACAGTAATATGGTGGGAGGGGGGCGTTACCTAATATTCTAATGCAACTTCTATACCCCCGTGTGTAAACCTAACCTAACCCAACAAGAATAAAAGCAAAAAACAACGGAACCTAAAGAAAAAGAAAATCTGAAATAAAAAATTTATTTTCTGTCGAAATCACGAATAAGTGCATCTGCACGAATATCACATGACATAAACACTTCCTCTGATTGGCTGAATATGAAGGAAACAATGTACCAGTATATGTGTATGCCTTTGAACTTTTATTCTTGTAAGTGAAAATAACTCATAACCTATAAATTTCCGACAAATGCTTTCGAGTAAAGCCTGAGGCCCTACCCAACTTACCTTACCTTACCTTGCGTGAATTGGGTGTTAATACGGAAAACTGCCAATTAACGAACAAACCCACATGTTTGTCACAATACATGAATGTATTTTGAATACATTATATTTCACAAGTTATAAGGACCTGTTGATATAAGTACTGTATCATATCTTCAGTTAGTTAATCATAATTACAGTATACTGTACTAACAAATTCTGATTGTGGTTCTCAGTAATACATTAATATATTTAGATATAACTATGGTTGTACTAAGATAATAGTAAATAATATGTTCTCACATGACTAAAGATACATAAAATGATATACGTGTTGGTGAGTAGGATATATGGTCAAAGATTTTGACTTTATAATATCCTTCAGCAAAAAAAAAGACAATAGGAATAGCTGGACAATTAATCGGAACAAACAATTTCCTATAAAAGTAAAGGTACTGTATTGAAGTTGACCAATATGCACATGAAATACAGGCAAAACTGATGTTACATTTTTCCCATATTTGTGACTTCCGAAATATAGACAAGTCACATGACAAAATAGTGTGAAATAAAATGTCTAATGAACTAGAAGAACTCCCAGGTGAAAGAGAAGTTGAGTCCTACCTCTTTCATTAGGAGTTGTAGTGCTCATTATTCCACATAATTATTCTAAGTACAGTTCCTCCCCGACTTACGACGGGGTTAGGGACCCAAATCCAGGTCGTAAGTCGAAAATGCTTTAATAATACATAGAAAATCTAAAATGGGTGTCCCTTTTTCTTCTCAGCACCACAAAACTCTCACTTTTAAGCTTGCCAGTCATTTTAAAGTGAATTACAAACGAAAATTTTGTCAGTACACAGCGCAATCACTGACGCTGGGACTCGAAAATACGTAATTTGACAAAATTTTGGTACGACTGAGGCAGGTCGTAAGTGCGGGTGGTCGTAAGTCGAGTCGTTCACCTTGGGTATGAGGGGTCTCTTTGTGCTGAATAAAATCGTTTCATGTTACCAAAATAAAATATACAGCGACTTCCAATTTCATCTGCAATAAAATCTCGTTTGAAGATACAATACAGTATATCGAAGATGTATATCATGCATATAAAGTGGTTCGGTGCAGCAGATTTGCTTTGAACACTAATTATACTATAAATAATTAATTTCAGATGGCGTGAAATAAATCCTGGTAAATGGCGAGGAATCATCGGGAACAGGTTGTGGACGCTCTCTCAAGATGAGTCACACATCAGTTACCAGGTACACACTTCAGTGGATGTGTCCTTGAACCACAAGAAGAAAGAAACTCCTCAGGCAAAAATTACAAAAAAGAAAAAGAAAACCAAGAACCTAAAAACATCTCCAGTACCGGTAACCAATGGATTAAAAAATTACACTGAAACTGAAAGTGATTGTAATGGAAAGGAAGAATCAGATGATATTAGTGAGGAGAAGTTTAAAGCCATGTTGAAGGATTATTTCCAGTTGGATATATCACTGGAGAAGATGTATTTAGTGTGGGCCAAAGCTGATAGTAATTTTGCTACAGTATGTCCTCAGTTTCCTGGTGTACGGATGTTAAATCAAAATCCAGTTGAAAATGTATTTTCATTTATATGTTCATCAAATAACAATATTCAGAGGTAATGTATTTTTAGAATTATTTGCTAACCTTACTGTACATTACACAGTACTGTACAGTATTAAGATATTCTATGAGCATCAGTGCATGTTGTAAAATTAGCTCATGATTAGCCCCTTGTTTACAGAGGGTCTCTTTGTGTTAATTAAAATTGTCTGGCATTAGCCAAACAAAATGATATAAGTGGCATCCAGTAGTGAAGGGTTAAGTAGATACAGTAATCCCTTTCTCTCATGTGAACACTCATTATATAGGCTCTGTAAACAGAAGTGTGTAAGGACTTTGGTTTGGCAAATTTTTGGATTGGGCAGGATTTACCACCTTGGAAGTGTAGTGGACAGCATGATGTTCTAGTGGCCTATGTCAAATCCCAGGGCACACTAAGCCAGTTCCCAGGACATTTATTGTCAAATGGTGGGATATAATATAGTCAGCTAAACTGACAGGTTACTAACATACGCTGTGAGGGGAGATGTAACATATTGGTTTAATATGGTAGCTGTAAAATGGAAGAGCAGAGATTTTTCAGTCTATAGTCAGCAGTGGAGATTTTAAGGAGAAAAGGTAGCTTTCAATATACTTTGTGTGCAAGAAAGTTTTGAAACAGACTATTTAAATTGTTAAATGTAATTGAATGTTTTATACTGTATAGAAAATTCTCAACCCTTGTAGGTTAAGGCAGGAACTGTTATTGACACTGTATGGCTATTATTGTACCTGCACTACAGTAGTAATTACTCTACTGTACTTGAGTTAAGAATACCTTTTGATAATTATATTAGTACTTTTTAAGTGGGTGTTATCAAATATTTTCTTTAGTAAAATTACTGTAATTATAAATCTTGGCACTCCTTTTCATCGAATATTCAGTGATACTCGTAGTTCTTAAAACATTGTGAAATTTTTGGGAAGCCCATTAATTTTTATTAACTCTTTAATGCTTATACTGCATTGCATTTTCACTTCATTACTGTAATTCCCTAAACTTCCAGAATCACCAAGTTAGTTGAGAGGTTGTGTCAGCTGTATGGCTCTCCTCTGTCCACTGTGGATGGCATCACATGGCACTCATTCCCAGATGTTTCATCCCTGGCAGCACCAGGAGTGGAGGAAACACTGAGAGACCAAGGCTTTGGTTACAGGTAACAAGTTCAAGCATATTGACGGTAAATACTGGTACAGTATACAGTACTGTAATATCTTTGTTAGCCGGAATTCCTCAAACCCGGAATTCTCCGATAGTCGGAATTAAAAACAAATTCTCAGAAAATTTTTCCCAAATCCAGAATTTTCTGGACAATTCCGGCTTTGGGAATGATTTTCTGAGGGCTGCTTTTCTGGAAAATTACGAGAACATTTTCCCAATACTTGGAAAATTCCGGAGATGGGAGATTTATTTTTTAGTTTTATTGATTTAAATTTTTTTTTTTTTTTTAAGAGATGAAAATCAGGCGTTTTCAGGAAATTCGGAGAAGATTTTTCCAGTACCCGGAAATTTTGGGGGTTGGGATATTTTATTTTTTTTATTTCTTACCATTCCTATCACCACTGGCATCCTATCAGGTTTTCTATGTGCAAGATGTACACAATGACTGTTCACTAATGGTAGTCTCTTGCCACTGGCCAGTACATTATAAGCTGGTTTTCCTCTATGCACAAACTTGTGTGTCAGTTATCCCTTCGTTATTATCTGGGCTTATTAGGCAACTCGCACTTCTTCCTGTGTATCACTGCCATGTCCCTCTAGTCTTGTCATTACTCTTGTCTTCCATATTATATTTTCTTCTCATTCACTATCATGATCCTTAGGGCAGTTGGCTAATTCTCTTGCTTCCTCCTTAGCCTAACCACATTGTTTGGAAAAACTGCCATATTCAACTTCTTCACAAGACCTCCGAATTCCTGTTGTATTGTGTGTTTTCCCATTTTCAACCTCTTCTGATTGACTCTCAGGGACTCCATACATATTTTTGTTCTTCATAAACTCAAGATGATCCTTGAGTTTCTTCACACTCTCCCACAGGTTCCCTAACTGCAGCATGCCTTGCTCTGATCTTACATCACTGGTCCCCTGTGTTGTAGGATCCTGCCACAACCTGAGTGTAGGTTTTGTTGAATAATGAATAATGTCTCCATTTTATCAACTCTTTCTTAGGAATGTTTCTCTGAGATGGTGTGGACATGTGGAATGGTAGCCTGGAAATGGTGTTGAGATGTGAAATACATGTACAGTAGTTGGTAGGCTAACAAAAAATACATTATGATATTGCAATTATAGGTAGGAAAAGGATATATCACCTTTGTCATTTAGGACAAGGATTGATTAAGAAAGAATAAAGCAATTAATGTGTAGGACTATGTCAGGATGTTATCTGAGGATTGACAGGAAACTTTGCATATTGGGAAATACAGTACAGTAGTCTTGAAGGAAGTTGGATAGGTAAATGGAGGTCTAAAGATTCATGTCAATACCAGTGCTGTAACCATAGTAATGTAAATGGATGTACTGTATTGTATATGAATAGGTAGTGAAGGCTCAATGCTCTTGGTAGTTGCCATCTAGTAGGGGCAGTAGGGTTGATAGAGATAAATATTAATTTTTTAATAAACTCAGTGTATGCAATATCGGTACTAATCATTGAAACACATTTTGAGCTATGACTATGACACATGGCATCTTTCAGGTAGATATAGTTGTGTTTTGTTGTTTCCAGAGCCAAGTATATACACAAGTCGGCACAGATGATCATGGAAGAAGGAGGTGATGCTTGGCTCCACTCCTTAAGGTCACTTCCTTACCAAGAGTGTCACTCACAACTTATGCGTCTCCAGGGCATCGGTGCTAAAGTAAGACAGTGTTTTGCACAAGTTCTTATGGCATAAAATAATACTGACCTGGAAGTGATCCACAATTTTTCTCTCTTCATCTTTAACACATTACAACTTTCAGGATCTGAGTAGCCTCAAGAAAAATAATTTCTGTTTTTTATAAAATATGTACAGTATACAGTACATAGTCTCTTCCATTACTATATTTTTATTGTTTAAAGTAAAATTCAGGTGGACATATCACAGGTAATTATATTATATCATCTTTATTAATTTTGTAAACCTCTTTGCCATTAGCGATTATCAAACTCCTCTTTGCTCTTATTGCACTGTTGAATACAGTAAGCTAAGTAGCCCTTACCTTAATTCTTTACACCTCCTTCATAATCTGAAGCTGTAAAAGTGTTAATTCATCCATGCATTACATATTTTCATGCTTGATGGTAAATTCTATGCCCAGTTACACTTTACACTCAGTCCTCGACTTAAGACGGGGTTAGGGACCGACGACCAAGTCGTAAGTTGAAAATGCGAAAATAATACATAGAAAATCTAAAATGAAATACGGTACAGTAAAAGTAATCAATAATGAAAAATGAATAAAGTGTGACTGTGCACTTACCTTTAATGTAGTCAACTGAATGCACACGGGGCCTCAATAATTTTTTAAATAAACATGGAGACTACTGAAGAACATCAAGGACTACAACATCTGTGATGCAGTGTTCAACCTCAAGGCAGCCTGGGAAAAGATTACCAAGATGACACTTATGAAGCTGTGTTACTGCAGGAGGATGAGGACTTTGAGGGTTTTGAAGTGGAAGAGGCCTACACTCTTTTCTGTGATAGTGGTGACACTGCTATGACTGAGAATGGTGTGGATGAGTGGATGCCAACAATCCTAGTTAAGGTGCTCTCACCCAGGAGGAAATAGCAGTTGGTGTTGTCAGGTTCTATGAAGAAAAACTGAAGAGGCAAGGGCATACCTGGATGGCCTCCTAAATTTTACAGCCACCACTGATATCCTCCGCTTCCTCCCCTTTTACCAGAATCTTCGGGAGGTGAGAGCAGTTTCTATAGATGAACTGCAGAAGAGAACCAAGATGAAAGAGCATAAGAATAGGGACTACTTCCCCAAGATCCCCAATCCAGTCCCCAGGTGTCCTCGGGCTGTCTGCTACGGCAGCTTGCCTAGTACCAGTGGTGACAGTGTTTCTGGCCCCAGCTCACAACCCTCAACATAGAGATTGCACATCTATCACCTTTATCACCACCACCACCCAGCACTTTGTCGGTGGTGGAAAACCTTTGTTTCAATCCTGATTTGCCTCTCCATAGAGGGAGAGGAGAGTGACAGTTGGCAACACCTGCTACAGTAGATGGTACAGGACAAAGCAGGCCATCCTGTATCATCATATCACCATTTGACCTGCCTGCATCACAAGCTTGAGATGACAGCATCTGCTGGTGCATACACTATACAGTACGAGTATATAGTACTGTAGTATATTTTGTTAATTTACAATATATTGAATGTGTACAGTGGTATTTGCATAAATAAATACAGCTCTGTGTCTGTCTGGCGAGATGTGTAGGTTAGACTCTCGGAAAACTTTCCCCTGTACTGTACTTTACTCGGATAATTCCAGGAATGTACTGTACACCAATTATTTCAGCTAACGTGGAGATTATGGCATCTACCATTTTCTGAAAGATGTAAACCACAGCAGATACAGTACATTTAGTTTCTAATTTTGAGGTAACTTTTGCATACCGGTATCTCATTTCTCCAATAGTGACCATGACTGTAGATATGCCACAGCATTATCAATAGCTTTTCACACTTTCATCTGGGTAAAGAACAAGAGCATTACAGTACAAATAGATGCAAAAAATTTGCTTGTTTAAGGTTACTTATTGTTTGAGAAAACTGGACAAATCTCTGTGTTTGAGAATCAGAAATGGTATACAGTACAGTACTGTAGTAGGTTAAATGAATCCGGTTGAGATAATCTGTTACTTTTTGTTTTGCAGGTGAGTGACTGCATCTGCCTCATGTCCATGGGTCACTTGGGTGCAATTCCTGTAGATACTCATGTGTTCCAAATAGCTGCCAGGGACTACCTGCCACACTTGCGCTCCTGTAAGACTGTAACTGACAAGGTCTACCGGGAGATTGCAGATCACTTTCGCTGTGTATTTGGAGAATATGCTGGCTGGGCTCATTCTGTAAGATGGTTACTTTGTATTGTTTTGTATCTCTCTAACAATATTATTTCATTTCTAACAATATGGGATGGGATTTAAAACACAATTACACTGTACAGTGGGGTATGCTATAACGAATCTAATTGGTTCTAGAACCTTGTTCGTTATAGCATTCGTTTGTTATAGGATTAATCCGTTCCAGGCCCCCAAATACAACCACTTAACACTGAAAAATATAATATAAAATTGTAAAAATTGTAAAAAAGTGCATAAATATGCATCTAAACCCCTGAAATAAAGAATATCATTAATATTTGTAATAATAAAACAATAAATTAGAAAAAAAAATTTTAAATTATGTTGGTTGTAGGAGTTTCGTTCGTTATAGCATTCTCAATTTTATAGGTAAAACCGTTCGTTATAGGAATATTCGTAGTAGGATCCGTTCGTTATAGCATACCCCACTGTATACAGTTCACACCTTAAATGTTTCTGAAGTCAAGCCCACATTAAAAACGCAAAACTTTTATAATGTGGAAGACAATTTTGATTTCCGTTAAAGTTAATATTCATGTTACTGTAAACCTTTCCAAGTATTATGTATATTAATTGGTTTATAAGATTGTAGAGTGGTTACTTTTGTTCATTTTATTGTAACAAAACAAGAGAATATAGTGGTATTATCCAGGTGAACTACCAGAGCATTTACTACTAAAGACATTTGCTCTAACGCGATTTATGAATTAGGAACGATATTTGTATAACGCGAACGCTTGTTTGCTATAACGCGATTTTTGCTTACTATTTCTCCAATTTTGTGAATATAGTAAAGAAGAATATCAACAAGAAGCGTTCTGGTGATTGAATTCCCGGTGATGATCGTAAAAGAAAGGATATAACACTTGAAGAGAAGCTCGATTTTATCAACCTCAAAATCACCCTTCTCCCCCATCAAGTAAAGTGTTACATTTACTGTATGATTTCATTATTAGATATGAATGTAACATTTATTTAGACTGTGGTATCCTTTGTGTTAGGCTAACTACTAAATTTTTTCGATTTCGAGTAATCTGCACCTAACCCTATTTTCTCCATAAGCCCTGTTATTTCTATTACGCGATTTTCTATAACACGATATTTTACAAGAACACAATTATCGCGTTATAGCAGAACTACCTGTACTGTAAAAGTAATCAATAATGAAAAATTCATAAAGTGTTACTGTGCACTTACCTTTAATGTAGTCAGCTGAATGCACACGGGGCCTCAATAATTTTTTAATTAAGCTTGGAGACTACATTAATTGGATGAAGCAGAGGAGGAGACAGGGCCGTCGTATGTCCGGGTTGTCGAAAGTCGAATATGTCGTAAGTCTAGGAGAGACTGTATATAGTTTTCTAAATGTTTTATAGCCCATGGGTCACCAAATGACCTGTGATATCAGTCACTAATTGCCCTCTTGACAGAACCTACCTTTGCTAGAGAGCCCTGACATGTTGAGTAACAGATAACTCATTATCTATGAGTCAAACAGTTAGGTACTGTCCAGTTTTGCTGGAATATACAACTCCTCCCCGACTTACGACCACCCGGACATACGACCACCTCAGTCGCTCCAAAATTTTGTCAAATTACGTATTTTCGAGTCCCAATGTCCGTGATTGTGCTGTGTACTGACAAAATTTTCGTTTGTAATTCACTTTAAAATGGCTGGCAAGCTTAAAAGTGAGAGTTTTGTGGTGCTGAGAAGAAAAAGAGACACCCATTTTAGATTTTCTATGTATTATTTAAGCATTTTCGACTTACGACCTGGATTAGGGTCCCTAACCCCGTCGTAAGTCGGGGAGGAGCTGTATATTAAATTATATATATATATATATATATATATATATATATATATATATATATATATATATATATATATATATATATATATATATATATATATATATATATATATATATATATATATATATATATATATTTATTTGCAGAATGTTCTCCAAAGAGTTCTTTTATCTGAACCCTTCCCATAAATGATCAGGCCCTTAGAGAATAGTTAACTTTCTAACTTATCTGACTGACTTTTGATGGAAGAGTTTAGCATAATGAAACACCTCAGGAGAGGAGCCTTCAGGACAATTTATATAATCAACAACTTTCTTCTTCAGGGTTACCCTAAAGAAGTTTAAGGCTGGAGATTAGGTAGGATCCTCCAATTCGATCACCAGATATCTCTCACAGCCTATCAATAGTTTCAGAAGATTCAACTTTGGAGGAGAATTGGTCCAGCATAGGGCATGTAGTCTGAGCTCATGCTTTTTGATTAGGATACAAACAAAGATCTCGTTGATACTTTGCCACCATTTACCAACTTTTTTTTGTTTATCAAAGAACACCTTCTGATAGCATTTCATAATAAAGAGCTAAAAAAACTATGGAGATACTGTTCCTGGAAAATGTTCTGTATATTGAGAAAAGAGAACATTAATAAATGAACAAATGATCAGCACAAATGTTAATGAGTATTGTATATGTGTTGTACAGTCAATCAGTCAAATTACAGATACTATACCGTCATCATATCTGAGGGTTGGTCCCACAGTCCTCCACTCTAAATGTTTTTGAGCTATTTTTACCAATCCTCCAAGATTTTATCCATTAATATTTCTGCTATTAACTCATCTCTAATTGTATGACTAAAATATCTCATTTTCCTTATTCTATGAACCAAGTATTTCTCTTGAAGTTTTTGCCAATCTTAGTACTTTTTCATTTATTTTCTTGTCAATGTAACTTATTTTTAACATTTGCCAATAACAACACAATTCAAAGGCCTCTATTCTCTTTCTGGTTTCTGCTGAAAGTGTCTATGCTTCTGACCCATGTAACTGTCCTGACCATACATAGTATTTCAGCAGCCTTTTTCTCAGATTGAAGTTAATGTCCCTTTTTATTGGGTCTTGTAGATTGTTAACTGCTCATTTTACTTGCCCTATTCTTATTTTGATTTCTTTTGCACATCTACCATTCCAACAAATGTTAATTTCCAAATACAGTCTCTCCTCGACTTACGACAACCCGGACATACGACGGCCATGGTCGTATAAAATATTTTTCATATTACGTATTTTCGAGTTCCGACATAAGTGATCGCACTGTGTACTGACAATTTTTTTTTTTTGTAATTCCATTTAAAATGGCTGGCAAGCGTACAAGTGAGAGTTCTCGTGGTGCTGAGAAGAAAAAGAGACCCATTTTAGAATTTCTTTGTGTTATTTTCGCCTTTTCGACTTATGACCTGGTCGTCTGGATGGAACCCCATCGTAAGTCGAGGAGAGACTGTAAAAAAAATTTCTACTTGTTTAAGTTCCCTGTTGCCAACCCTAATTTACATTTTAGGATTTATTTCCAATTTGGAAACATCCCTTAGTTTCACCTTTACAGTATTAACACTTAACCTATATTCTTCACCTTTTTCCTCTAATGTTAACCAGTTTTTGTAATGCCTCTTCATTATCTCTGATACGAGCAGTATCATCTGCATAACGTATATTTTATTTTATATTACTTCATCATTAACTTTAATTCCTTCATTGTTACATAGATTTTCTCATTAAGAATAATGAATATGTATTATACAATGTAGGAGATAGAACACAGCCTTTTCTTACTCCCTGTCTAAATTTGAACCAATTAGTTCCAGATAAGTTCATTATTTACTAACGCTGCAGCCTCCGCAGTTTAACGTATTCCTCTGTAAATATGAGGAATGAATAAAAATTATATTAATAAATAAAAGAAAAGAAAAATTACTGCATTGCCATTTGGGAATTGTTTCATTAAGGACACGGGAGCCAGAAGCGTGCTCCCCCTCCTATGATCGTGGGCTAACTCCCGCGTATTTAATATACTGTACAGGTATAGAAAATCAAAATCAAAATGTGTCTCAGCCTGTATTGTGGGGCAAGTGGCTAAGTGTTAAACTGGACAGGTACTGGACGTGTCATTCTAATGGGTTTGTCCTGACACAAACACAACGTAAAGAACTCGAGGCACACCACAGAACTAGTTGCAGTGGTTTAAGGTTCTTTACAAATCATAGCGGTTGAGTGGATACAGTGCTCGCTTCCTGTTCCAGGGTCGGTGGTTTGTTCCCCTGGGCACTCCCAGTTCACCCAGCTGTAAATGGGTACCTAAGTTTACAACTTGGGGAAGTGAAGGCGGTCGAGTGCAGTACCGGCCATGCTGCCTCCTTGTGTACCGAAGGCTTAATATACAGTGTGAGGTAGCCACACTGTCCCTTATGGGCAGTCATGCCTATGTCTGTTCTGTGTGTATATATAAATAAGGTGAACTGAAATTTCAAATGTAATATAATTTATAAAATACCACATGCAGTGAAGGGATCATTAATACAGGGTTGTATGTTATCTAGCAAGCATGTATGATTCACCTTTGAACAACACTGTAGTCCTCTGTTTGGGAACCACTGCATTAAGTAAACAATAAATAACCCAAACCTTCAAGTTTGTTGCTCTAGTTTGGCAAATAACTTTTAAAAAATTAACATAGACCAATAATATCATCCAGTACTAGGATTTCTGAATGCCATGTACAGTAATTAAAACAACTTTAATAAAATTTTAATAGCTATAACACCCTAAGTTCCAGTTCCAGTCGGAACTTGGTATTATGGTTCCGGTGTATCCCTATTGCAGTATGTAAAAATAGGTAATGAGTACTGTAATGATTACTGTGTAGGGTAATTTTTAATGGTCTTTTTCATTAGTTTTAATGTTAATCATAGGATTCCACCTTCTTATAATTTTATTATTTCTCACAGGTTTTGTTTAGTGCTGATTTGAAGAAGTTTGAAACTCTTAAGACTGAGGAGAAGCAAGTGAAGAAGAAACAGAAGACTACAAAGTCCAGAACCTGAAAATGTTGCTCATTCAAGTGTATAATCCATAAGTCAAGTTTTTGTAGGGATACTTTTTTTAATGAAGTTTTAAAATCTATTTTTATGACACATTATACGTTTAATAATTAAGTACCTGAACCTGTTCATATATTTTATGACAATTAATAAATTATGATAATCTCTGTAAATAACCCTTATATTTCCCTGTCAGTCCTGGTTCTTGCTTAGTGTTTCTCTATATATGAATGCAGTATGTCCAATAATAGGATTTTCTCATCTAAAATGTTGTAAGCTATGGAGAGCCTTCACTCACTGCAAACTATGAGCCATATTAATGTTTTGTTAAATTCTCATAAAATAATACTGCCAAAGAACTGTACACTACAGTACTGTGGTTGTGAAACTATGACCTCTCACCAGTGACCTGCTTACTCAGACATTAATGACTGAAAATTTATTTCTCAAAATCCCAGAATCTTAACGTAGTTCTTAATTCAGGTGAGTTATATAATTTCACGCTGTTATCAGCCTTAAAATAGATTATCATCATAGATTTCGTGATTAGTCTGTCATAAAGGCTACCATATTTGAAATAAACTGAATGATACTGTAATGGTAGCTCTGGTGTGATAAGTGTGATACTGTATGGCAGGTTAACATAGGAAGTTAAAGAAAATGACATATGTAGGCTTGATTGAGTTGAAATGAGAATGGTGAGGTGGATTTGCAATGTGACACTGCTAGGTAGGAAACCCTGTTCAGAGATAAGAGGGCAGCTGTGTATTGAGTGTATTAGCAAAGTATTGCATAGAAGTAGGCCAAGATAGTTTGATCATGTGAAAAGACTGGATGAGACCACTGGGTCAAGAGGTGCATGGGAGGAGATCAAGAGGAAGGCAAAGAATGACATAGGGAGAGGTTGTAAGAAATTACATTAGATTGAAGAGGCTGCAAAAGACCATGTGGAGTTGCCTTGTATTGTATTCTTGAGGAAAATAGCCTTAAAATTTGATGATGATTTAGCGTCTCAATTAATTCACCAGATCCTTACATAATAAATAGAAAACACTTACTTTTGACAAGCTGACATCACCAGGCATGACAAGTAGATCTTTGACATGTATTGTATGGCTCGCTATTACAAATGGATGTGTCTATGATGTCCACATATAATATAATACAGTACAGTAAACCCTCGATAACTCGGCACATATGGGGCTCTGTCCTTGCCGAGTTATCCCAAATCCTGACTTATTGAGGCACTTCCTCCCTCCTACAAAAATACAACAGTAAAAAATTATCGACCCATACATGTGTACATGTAACTACTAAATGTGAAAAAGTAACACTTACCAGCACTGCAGGTGAAGAATGAAGCCTCTTAGTAGGTGACACAGATGCATGGTAGGTGACACAGAGGCGTGGTAGGTGACACAGGTGTGGTAGGTGACACAGAGGCGTGGTAGGTGACACAGGCATGGTAGGTGACACAGAGGCATGGTAGGTGATGCAGGTGGCCAAATATGCCAAGATTTTCCCAGACAATTTTATATATCTCAGCATTTCCCGAGTTATACTGTACTATACAGTAATACATTCCGAGATCATATCCATGCCGAGTTATATGAAATTCAGAGATTATTAAATGCTGAGTTATCAAGGGTTTACTGTATACCGTATAATACTATCAATGGAAAGTATGCACTAAAGGAAGGGTTAAAATAAAAGGAAAAGTAGAAAACATTAAAAAAGTAAGAATAATTCTGAGTGATAATTTTATAAGAAAATTGTTTTTCCCTGCATCATCTTGAACACCTTTTATATCCTGACATTCTGTTTCTGCAGTACACCATCAATGTGTCTCAGCCCAAGAACCACTTTTGTTGCATGTCTCTGAACACTCAATTGGATGGATGTCTTATTTTGTGGTGGTGTACTCTTTTAAGTTTAGATGAACCATTTGAACTTGTTTGTGTGTGAGAGGGAGAATGATAGCTAGATCACATTCACCACCTGGTTTGCATTTTCAAGTTCATTTTTTATATGATCTACAAACAATAATTTCCTTTCAACCATTATAGCTCTTTTTAACTAAATTTACTTATTTTCATCCTTCATATCATGTGTCCTGCAGTTTCTTTCCCCTGTCCTGCCAGAGTCAACACCTTTCATATATTTGGGTGGAATCAAAGTAACTATGTATATCTGACCCTTTCTGGAAGCTGTTCAGATCCACTTGAAGCTAAATTTGGTCTTGGTATCAAAACATCTTTGTAGCATCAGTGAAGAGGTACACTTCAACAGATACACAACCAGGTAAGTCATAAATGTATATGACATATGATCAGACCAAACATGTGCCATTGTAGGATACCACATACCGGTAATTCACCAGCTCATTCAAATCAGAAACTATTTACTTTAATTGTCTTTTGTCAAATGAGACCTGTGGCTCCTTTTTATGATACTCTCAGTATACTGTATCTAGTGCCCTTCCTATATCCACTTATTTCTTCCATAAACCAAAAGTGCATTATTTTATTTTCTTCCCATTGACTCATGATGCGATCACATGCAATGGATTCCTTAGACATGTAAGTGAGGCATGGGAGGTTAGCCACTTTTGGATTCACTATCTTATTGAGGTAAGTTGCCAGTTCTGAATGTGTTAAAGATCACTGCCAACAGTAAGCTTATAATTTTATGTGCTTTCATTAATTTTGGATAAACTGCATCAAGACTGGAGGGATTTATTAATTTTTATCTTTATAAGCTTAAATCTTACCTTTTCTGAAATTTAGAGACAGTTCATGGATTTTTCAAATTTTATCTATAGCTGTGATACTTCATCCAAATATGGCTCTGCTCTAAACACATTTGTGAAGAATTGTGACAAGATTGATGGTTTCTCTTGGTCTGCCTCTGCCATATTTATTCCGTTCTCTTCTCTTGTAACTATATCTGCAATGCTATTATACTGTACAGTTTTGGTATTCAAATTATATTTTTAAACTCACCTTGTCTTTCCTGGCATCATTTTGAATATTACATGTCATCCTCTACCTCAAGTACTGTACAATATCCTTATACACTGACCCCCTATTGTTTGTATTTCTTATGTTGATAATTCAAACCATCCTAAGGCACTAGTTTTGAGTTATGAACATTCTAACAGGCTAAACTCTCAACCTCTGGTCTTGTAAGTTTATGACCAGTGTCAGGAGTGTGCAGTAGGGAACTCTTAACTATAGTGAGCAGTCACAGCACTTACCGTACCCTTAGCTTCTTGGGCATGGCCTGATCAAACATATCCAGGTTTCCATTAGTTGTTTATATTTTTAAACAAATTCCATATTGTGTTTGTAGTAAAGAAGGTCTCCCAACTTACCTTAATTTTATTGCAAGACATTTGCTGTTTCTTTCAAGTTGTCGTTTCCCTATGGCCAGAAACATGAAGTTGATGCTCGGGTAAGAAATGTTTGGTGACAGATCCCTGCCTTAGCATCCCCAAAAAGATAGTGTGTTGTGAGAATCAGTAAAGCTGGCTCATTGCTACCACTGCATATGGTGTTCTCAGGTACATGCGGTTCTAAGTTGTTGTTTAATGTCACATCTAGTCCTGTATCAATAAGACAGGATAGAAATAGCTTGTACTGTACTGATAGGCCAGTACTGTACTATATCCCCACCACCCATTGATGCTTATGGCCATTTATTTAAAGAGTCGGGGCAGTAAGGCCGAAGAGTAATCCTGAACATCGGGTTACTTTTAAGTCAAATGTACTGTAAGACTGATTAGATTCAAATATTTCCACTAGAAATATGTAATGTAGCCTCATCTAACCTAACATAACAAATACTGTTAGTACCTAAACTCCACCGGAACAACAAACAAACAGTGAAATATACTTCAGAAAAACATTTCATAAGAAAGTGCAGCGACATCATCCAAAATAGCAAATCGGATACCACATTGACATCAAAGAATAAAAACTCATTCAGGAATGATTCAGTTATATTTATAATAATGTTCATAAAAATATATCTTCCTTAAAAAAAAAATCGTTATAATTACATGTACCCAAATGTTTTGCCATAAACCAAGTTCATAAGCTACCAAACATATTTGCTTCATCATGAATCTTTCCTATATTATATAGTGACGAATGAAAATGGTGTTACATCTATCAACATCAAACGAAAGAGCGATGCTTAAAATACTTGAGGCTACAAGATTGTAGGAATGTAATGCTTGAAATTTTTTCAGAAGTGCGATGGGGAGATGAGAGGTCTTTGGGTTGAAGGTAATCATCACATGGATACAAGGAAGTCTCTTAAATATGTATATTTCCTTCGGAAATTATAATTAGGATATTTAAATTATTATTATTTTTCGGTATTTTCCCACTTCAATTGGCATAGTTTATAAGAGTGTAGGACAAAATCCTCTTGGTACAAATAATACAGTAATAATTTTTTAAATAACTATTTTTATTCTTTATTATTTACAGTTTATGGACACTTCTGTGACATGTAAAATATATCTAACCTAACTTAATATCACCTAATTTAACCCAACCTAACATAACATAACTTAACCTAACCTATTTTGCACTGTAACTGAAGGGCTTTCGTCCCATCTTTGCACTTTAATTGAGGACGCCCCGGATCCCAGTTTATATATATATATATATATATATATATATATATATATATATATATATATATATAAAACCCAGTGTAATATACAGTAATATAGACCTTGTACTTCCATTGTACAGCATTTTAATACAATTGTCGATGTAACCTCTACCGGTAGTGTAAATTCCAGTGTAAGCACTGTAGTCCTAAGTGTAATTTCTTAAGTATTCCACCATAATATCCTAAATTTAGTCCTCAGCTAACGGCACAGTAACCGGATATGACAACAGCCATTAAGAGCACCAACTCCCTGACTGTGTATACAAAGCTGTGATATCCACTGTAATCTACAGTGTAATCTCCACTCGCTTCGTCAGGGTTCCTCTGTGCAGTGTTAATTTTCACTGCTCTTCAGTGAAACCTCCACCATAACCCTCACTTAATTCTGTCACCCGGTATAATCCCAATTGTAATCCGCACCTGTTAAAACTTTAAAGTATAATCCTGTGGCGATCGTTTAATAAGGGTAATTGAGGGAACTATAGGATCGTTTACAATACGGATTTTACTCAGATAAAGTAATATGTTAAGAGATAAATCTCTTTCATCTACGTCACGCACATGGCTAAATTCAGAGGCACTTTTATCATCGTCAAATATTTGGTTTTTAAAGTAGTTCAAAGGATTTGGAGTGAAGGGTTAATTGGGTAAATTTTATCAAATATTAGGAGCAATTAAAATTTGGTTTGTGAACAGATTTTTTTTAATGAGATCAGGAATTAATTTAATTTTGATTGATGAACGCGGATGTGCGTACCTAATTCCAAATCTGTCTTGACTATGTTGTCTTCTCTGAACTTCATCCTGTATTTATGTAAGTACTTCTAAACATCCTGTTAGTATTAAGTTACACTAAATTAGGTATGGATATCAATGAAGCTAACACAGCATCGAAACAAACTGGGAGTGTAAGGTAGATAATGTCACTGAGTGGGTGGCACCATGACAGGAACATCATCGACACGAAGTTAATGTTTGTGCTGTAACTTATCCTTTAGTAAAATATACAAAATGATATTAAATATGAAAAGTGTAGTAAGGTCACACTATAACGATAAAGGATGTATATGTTACAGGGAATCTGTAACTAGGAATTTCACGGAATCCCTAAAAATCGCTGTGACCGTCAGCAAATTTAATAACCACATCATAGATAATTGTTTGGTTAGCTGACGGTCACTGCAATTAATTAAATTCCTGAAAATTTTAGGGATTGCGTGAAATCCCTAGTTACATAGATTCCTTGTAATATATAGATATATACTGGTAGCGTTATTTCATGTTCATAACAGAAATAAGTCCGTAAAAATTAAAGTTAAATCATGTTAGGTTAGTTTTCAGTGCTGATTAGTTATGACTCAAATTAAGTGTATACCTTCATATATGTTGTAGATAACTATTTTCTTAGTCACTTGCCTGTCCGATATATGGTGCAGTAGCGTTACAAAAGAAACGACTTGTATAGGCTGTAAGTCGCAGTTCTGCGCCTCGTTCACACAACAGTGTACTATATATAATTCAGGTTTATATTTATATTTATTTTGTATTCACCAACAGAAGCTTACGTATAAATTTTTATGGTTAAGAAGTGGGTGTGTCAGTAATAGGAGTGGACAAAACTGCTGCAAACGAGAAATAAGTTGTTTCAGGACAAACCGCGCACTTCGGTCGTTCAAATTTGGTGGACCACGAGTGACGGCGCAGGTGGTTGAGGAGGATGCGCACGTAATGAAGAAAAATCGATAATCGCAAATCTTCCCTCGCACCCGCAAAAGCATTCCGCCATCCACGTAGTTCTCACGAAATATTAATTTGTACTTTTAGTCCTACCCTTTTAAGGATAGAATGACGAACGGACAGAGGGGTGGTAATTAGTGGGATAATCGTCCAAGGCCACTGCGTGGGGAGGTTGCGCACGGCGGCCATGTTTGTTGTGATGTGTTGAGGCGGGGATTCGTGTTTTCCAGGTCCGGATTAGGTGAGTTTGGGGAGATTTACTCACTTTTAGCCACTCCAGGTGTAGGAACCAGTCTCGTTGGGGTAAGAAAAGGTGTATCTTAATGCCGCGGCGGGTGTCATGCAGGTAGAGGGCGCGGGAGGAAGGGTTATGAGGTGGATATGTAGGGAGTGATGCCCGCCTCCCACACCACTGCTCTGTCATAACCTTGCCTTCCCACATCTTCCATTTTACCTCGCGACTCTCCAAGCCCTGGATATCTAGTTTCTGAATCGACAAGTGATTGGAATTATGAGTTAATACTATATGAAGTGTTATAGGTTAGAGATAATATGAAATATGAAAGAAAAAGGGGTGTCAATAGGAACAAAATCTTGAAAGTTTGTCCATGTGATGTGAGCATTTGGCTCAGAGACGGTAACACAGGATTATTTCTTCTATTTTCCTTGGCTATGAAAAATTAAAATCATATAATAAGCATAAAACTTTAATTCAAGACGAGGTAATTTGTGGAAAGTATCCTTAATAAAATGACAACCTGTTAATTGTCAGTGACTAACGTCTTTTCAGAGATATAAGAAAAGGATGTCACTTAATTGCTTGGAATTTATTTTAAGGGGTCTTCAGTGATATGTTTAATTTTATGCTTGGAATGTGACCAATTTAACCCACCCAGAAGGGCTATAGTAGGTTTGTGTTTGCCTCTGTTAGAAATGACCATCTTATGGTTGTCAAGGGTGTAATTGACAGGTAAACAAACTGATTTAATATCACTAAAAATATGTTCAAAGAGTATTAATTTGAATGAGTTTGACTGAGTTTGGTTTGTTTTGTCTGTGGTAAACTGGTGGTCCCAGAAACTCAATCCATGCCATGTTGTCTTTTGAGTTTTTTTTTATATCATGAAATGGATTTTGTTTTGTGATTAATAGTGTAACATTCCTTCTATGTAATAAAGTGGTGTTCCATCTCTCTACTAATGGTACTTACTATTGTATAAGAAGAGTTTCCAAGGAATAGGAAGTTTTTGAAGTAGTTTTGTAATTTGCTGTGAAAATTAATAATACTGTGCTAAATTACTTTGTATTACATTATCAAGATAGTTTTTAGGTAGTGGTAATTGTGTAACATTAGGGATTTTGTCATCTGTATATACAATATTCCTATTTATTCTTTAATTCTTACTCTTATTTCTTGTTCTACCTTTCTCATATTTCTATAATCAGTCAATGATACCGTTTACCCCTCGTTCTTTATTGCTTATTTATTATTTCAATGATCCTGGAGCTGATGGCTAACATCAGTACTCATTCAATTTCGTCCATTTTTTCCACAGATTTACTTTGGGTGATAAAAATAAAAACAAAAATACGATAATGAACAGAACCTAATAGAACCTGACCTAACTAACCAAATAAACCTACCTTACCTTACCTAACTTCCTAGCCAAACCCCCTGGCATATTAAACAGAAATTACTTTATTTTGATATTTTTGTACCAATGAAAGTAACTTTCTGTGGCATGGTATAATTTTTAATTTTTTGTGGAAGTGAGAGTACACTCGGACCAAGCGGGTCGGTTGTTGCACGTAAATAAACAAAGAGCAGACAACAACACAAGCTGACAATGGCAGATTTTTTTGAAGGAATATTTATAGTACAGTATATAATTAATTTCTTTGCATGCAAAACATGTAGAGACATCATTTTAGTGTCATGTGATCATTTTTCTCCATATTTTACCTACAATTTCCCTCAGCCTTCATACCTTGCCCACTACAGGTGATTCATGATGGTAGATGGGGAAAAAATACTTATAATTAAATAAAATAGTTGTTGTATCGTTATTATTACTTGCTATCATCCAAAGAACATCTGTGGAAAAAATACAAAAATAAAACAACAACTTCTGGTGTTGGCCTACTGCTCCATTATTACCATTCATTCTGTTTATTTAATTTTTTACTGTTAATGTTTGTAATTTGTAGGGGGAGTCAGAAGTAGGAGAGAGAGAGAGAGAGAGAGAGGGAACTGAGTGAAGGAGAGGAGAGAGTGGTAGAGCGAGTGTGAGTGGAGGATGGAAGATGGGGGAGGTCAGTCTCCTTGTCTTCTTCTCCCCCCCCCCCTTCCTCTCCACTCATGGTAGGTAGGGAGAGAAAAAGGTGAGGTGATATGCCAAGGGGAAGAAGAGAAAGAAAATGGATAATACCTGAGAAGAATAGGAGAAACATGCAATAGCTTGCCCACGAGGAGAAAACTGTTTGCGTTTGTTTATTACCCATGACTCACTGCATCACTACCCAGTGCATAACACAAAGGCATTTATGATGCTGTACTCAGTACAGGGGGACAGAGAGTGATAACACTGTTAAATAATTCTTTTCATCTACACTGTATTTAAAACTCATTATTAAAAAGATGAAATCAGTTTCAAAACCTTCATTTGTAGCTAATCTCACTATAATTTCGAATAAAGGATAATACCTGCCATGTTCACCAAGTGCCTGCACACAGCCTGTCGCTCCTGCTCAACTATCCAAACCAGACTGATTTTTTTTAAATAGCACACACTTCTCTATGCTGGTATGCCTCAAGCTCAACCAATCAGCTCAGCTGTGCCTATGATGCCACATTCACAGAAAGATCACTGCGATTAGCTTATGGCCTATAACCTACTCTGGCACTGACACTCATGGTGGGGCAGTTCTGACGAGATTTTGGCACGAAACTACTACTCTTAACGGAATTTCATACATATCTCAAACATATACTATAAAAACATGATAAATATCATTTACTTCGAAAAACATGACATTATTACAAGTGATTTTGACCCCTAACATGTTGCTGGTTGTATGCATACCAGGGGAAGCAATGTAAGGTTAATATGCCATTGAGACCATTCACAGAACTTTATATTGATTCATATATATGGAGATAGAGAAAGATTACTCTACTTTACTCTATCGCTTTGCGGTCAGAAATGTATAGTTTTGAGTTGTTTTTATTTCAAGTTTGGTTTCTATAGATTTTTTTTCTGACTTGTTGGGTTATATTTGGTCTACACTGGAGGTCCTGGGGGCAGAGCTCCCTTGGATAAGAAGATAGGTCAGGTCTTATTGGTTTATCTGGTTAGGTTAGGTTAGACGTATACAGTAGTATACTGATATTTGTGAGTTGTTAGGTTTGGTTTCGTCACTTTTTTGTATGTTTTATCCCACATTTTCCCTCTACTTCAAAGCCTTGGTCACTTTGTGAAATCAAAATTACATTTCTTGAAGTGAAATTAAAAAAAAACATACAGTATATATATAAATTTCTTATGGAAATGCTGTAGAATAAATTACTGAATTCTGAAATTTTTGGCTCTATTTCCCTGTACGGTACAGTATAACAATCAATATAAAGTTTTGTAAAGTCACACTACGAAATATTTACCCAATGAAACCGTAAAGGTCTTCAAGATTCAAGTGGGAATAATAATAATAATATTTGCCCAGTAAAATCATCATACAAGTTTACTATTGGTTTGGTATGTAAAAAGACAATACAGGCATGCAGTTCAGCATAAGTACGTATAGACAATGTAGGTATAGGTAGTTCTGCTATAAGCGATAATTGTGTTCTTGTAAAATATCGTGTTTAGAAAATCGCGTAATAGAAATAACAGGGCTTATGGAGAAAATAGGGTTAGGTGCAGATTACTCGAAATCGAAAAAATTTAGTAGTTAGCCTAACACAGTCTAAATAAATGTTACATTCATATCTAATAATGAAATCATACAGTAAATGTAACACTTTACTTGATGGGGGAGAAGGGTGATTTTGAGGTTGATAAAATCGAGCTTCTCTTCAAGTGTTATATCCTTTCTTTTACGATCATCACCGGGAATTCTATCACCAGAACGCTTCTTGTTGATATTCTTCTTTACTATATTCACAGTTAATACAGTACCACAAAATTGGAGAAATAGTAAGCAAAAATCGCGTTATAGCAAACAAGCGTTCGCGTTATACAAATATCGTTCCTAATTCATAAATCGCGTTAGAGCAAATTCGCGTTATCAAAACACGCGTTATAGCAGAACTCACTGTATACAGTGTACGTAGACCACGCAGGTATAGTATACCATTTCTAACATACATTTCCAACATTGCAGATGTACAACAATTGTAAACAGTAAGGCAAGTCTACCAAGGATTGCTGACAAAGCCACCAGATACTTATTTTCAGTAGGGTCATTTGATTAGTGATTGTGAAAGTTTGATAATCATGATAATTAATTGCCAAATTGATGAGTCATAAGCATCAACTGGTGAGTGTTCACAAGATGATGTTTCAGTTCACCTGGTTATGGAGAGGTACTTCAGGTCAGTGCAGGGAGCGAGTTTTCATAACGGAAAACAAAGAATCATTGTTTGCCAAGTTGAGGCATTTAGTGTATGACCCCTTAATTAGTATAGTAATAATTTATAATTAACCTGCAGCTAAACGAAATATGCAATTGATGAACAAATAAGAAGAAAATTTCTTTAATACTATACATACCATACATATAATTTTTTTCAGTATCTAATACAATACAGTATACTATACAGTATGTACTGTATCTGAATTTTTAAAACAAATATACCTGTACTTTTAAAAAAGTCCAAAGTGTCCCAATGAAGCAGCCCTGCCTAGTAAATAATGATCCCTTAGGGAAACTCTGGGCCTAAATCCTTTGAGTCTGGAAATTGACATAAGCTGACACAGCTTTTTCTGCCTTGGGTCCGGAAATTGACTATTTTGCCAACTCGACTTTTCTTATTGAGCACACTGGCCAGTGAGTGACAAGGCTAACATTTCTTGAAAGTTTTATTGTTGCATTTTTTGAAGTTAAATTTAATTATAGCACGATTTATCAATTATTCTCTAGTAAAAATGAGTGTTTTTTAACAAGATTTTCTAATCATAAAGAATACAATTCAGCACAACGACTGTTTACTCTCACTTAAAATATGCTACTCTTGTTTCTTCT